AAAGAGATTAATCCGAAAGGTAAATGTGTTCTTATGGGCATAATTATTTAATTGCCCATATTTTAATTGAAGATACAGTATATCATAATAGCGCTAGTTGAGTGAAATCAGTCAGTTTAAATGAATAGTGTTTCATTTAAACTGACTGATTTCACTCAACTAGTCTATTGGTTTTAATTAATAGCAAATGAATGTACATGAACTCATGCAATTGTTGAATAATAATAACCCCAAGAATTACAATAAATATTAGATAAAACAATAATAAGTATAGCAGCATGCCACTCTGTCTAATAAATAATTTTATTTATTTTTTATTATTTCCCTTTAAAATAAAAACTTTATTATATATATACAAGTATTATTTTTTTTTACAAACATTAATGTGTCCACAAATTCCTCATTAACAAAATGACACAAGAACCTTTAATATTCAATATAATATAATGTCATAAACCCTTGGAAAAGTAAAGTAAGGGATTACTCGTAATTTTTCTGTAATTTTAATAACTGTTACTTTCGATGTAATTGCATTAAATACTATATAGACTAGAACAATTCTATATAAAACAATAGTGAATTTAACAATTTAGCATCTCATGTTAAAATGTATGTTTTTAATGTAGCCATATAACTTTAAGTAGGAAGAAGAAGAATTTAAATATTATATTAAACATTTTAATAAAAATTTAAATTAATACAATTTGAATTTTATATTATTAATTTGAACGTATTAAGAGCAGGTTCATGTCTATCCTTGTATTGTTCAATTGTTCGAGGTTGATATGTGATTTAGAAAGTAATTAGTACCGTAATCTAATTACACTGTTGAAGATGTAATAGCTAGAAATTAATTACAACCCCATTTTTAGAAAAGTTAGGGCATTTTGTAAAATGCAATAAAAACAAAATTTGTTTATTCTCTTGAACCTTTATTTAATTGACAAAAGTGCAAAGAAAAGATTTCCAATGTTTTCACTGACCAACTTCATTCTATTTTTAGAATATAAACAAATTTTGATATTTAATGGCTGCAACACACTCCAAAAAAGTTGGGACAGAGGCTAAATAAAAGTGAAAAGATTATAAATCCAAGTTAAACAGTTTTGAAACAGTCCACAATTAGCAGGTGAATTAGTAATAGGAGAGGGTAATGTCATTGTCAAACAATAAAATCACATTTCTCAATGCAAAATTGCAAAGAATTTAGGTCTTTCGCCATATACAGTTCTATAATATTGTAAATATATTTAGAGAATTCAGAGAAATCTCAGTGTGTGTGTGTAGGGCAAGGAGACCTCTGTTGAATGTGTGTGACCTTCAAGTCCTCAGATGGTATTACATCAGAAACCATCCGCCTGTGTTAAATACAGCCAGGAGTACTTTGCAAAACCATTGTCACTTTACACAGTCTGCCACTGCATCAAGAAATGCAACTTGAATCTCTGTTACGCAAGGAGAAAGCTATACGTCAGTTCTATGCGGAGATGCTCTGAGTTCTCTCCATCTCAGATGGTCTAGAAGACAGTGGAAATGTGTGCTGTGGTCCAGCCCGATCTCATGAAAGTGCGTATCTATACCACGAATTAAATTTTTTCGTGTCATTTATACGCCAAAAGTAGTTTTTGCGTGTTTATGATACGCAGTTTTTCGCGTGCATATGATACGCATTATTTAGCGTGTAATACGCACGCACTCCCCATCCCTAATCCTACCCAAGAGATTACAGTGCGTAGCAAATGCACGCAAAAACCATTTTTGGCGTATGAGGGTCATTCTACGAAAATGGTGGCTTTCCTGTCCCGGCCTTAACCACCAGGAAAAACACTTAAAAATGTCAGATAATGACACCAAATATATGTTTTTTGTTTTAATTGAAGTGTTTTATTGTTAATAAAACATTTGTAAGACAGTTATATTGCAAACAAATTTTTTAATATATTGTAGAACACGGTCAGTACCATGAAATTGGCTTGTCCCTCTGGTCAGGAGTCGTGGTTTAGTGACGTATTTTGATTTAAAATATATATTTTTCGCCCCCTTTAAATGTCATAATACAAAGGAAAGTAGTATATTTATTTAGTGGACTACTTAAAAAACTAAAATATTAACTAAATATTATAAATAATTTACAGGGAATAGCTGTCCCTCAATTTCATGTCACTGGTGTTACAATTTATAAAAACCACTACTTTGAAATAATGCAACATCCTTGCCAACTTCTTTCTGGGTCAAAGGTTAATTTGGAGGCGGGGCTGTTTTGAAAAGCACATGGTGAGTTTGCACTCTCTCTTCATCTTTTAGCAATTTGATAAATAATTTGATAATTTCATGCGAGGACTTAAGATGCGTCACTGGTGTTCTACAGATTATAGTAAGGGAAAAGGAAATTTGATTAAAATAATTGTTCAAATTGCATGATTAAGTGATTTATTTACAATTTAAGAAGTGTGGTTTGAGCTACTGTGGTAGCCATCTTAGATATGTTATCTTGTCTGCAGATTTGTCACTGGTGTTATCGTCACTGGTGTTACTGTTGCTGCTGGTAACACCAGTGACATGACGATAACACCAGTGACAATCAATAACACCACTAACGTTTTTCTCAACATAAGGTTTCATAAAAGCCTCAACAATAAATATTACTAATAAATTGATAAAAATTTGTTTGAAATAATCTTATGTTATGTCATTGGTTTCACATTGCGTCACTGGTGTTACATTGCGTCACTGGTGTTACTGCATGGGATATTGGTGTTCTGGCATCAGAGTAGCCCAGTTTTATAGAATATGGTTTTTGTATACCTAACTGTTGCTGCGTTCATTAGTAAGCATTTTAAGGATATGATCATTCAATTTTGATCACTCAACCTCAATTATTTCTAATGTTAAAACAAAAAACACAATGGTAGAAATAGAAAAATGTCACACAATAGAACTTTACACATACCTGGTTAAAGCAAATTATTACTAATCAAGACAATTTCTTAATATTACATTAACTTTTTCTGTCTTTGATTATGTATGCAAATTAAATGGTCAAATTACATTCTGGAAAGCCTGAATTGTCATCTAAAATATAGGTAACACCAGTGACAAAAAGGCAGGTCAAGCTTTTTTTTATGTAATGTAGTAAAAATATAAAAATACATTAAGCTGTCATTTAAGTTGATTTATAATGTTAAGAGGTTAACTATTATCTGACTATAAGTTTTGGTATAAAAAAAAGAATTACATTTTTTAAAAGTTGTCTGTTCAAAAAGCCACCATTTTCATAGAATGACCCATAAATAGCACGATAAATTAAATTCGTGGTATAGATACGCACGTTCATGAGATCGTGTTGCGTGGTCAGATGAGTCCAAGTTTCACCTTGTTTTTTGGGAACAACAGACATCAAGTTCTCAGTCCCAAAGACGAAAGGGACCATCCAGACTTTCATCAGCGACAGGTGCAAAAGCAAACATCTGTAATGGGATGTGGGTGCATATGTGCAAACGGCATGGGTGATTTGCATATGTGTGAAGGTACCACTGACGTGAAGGCGTATGTCAGGATTCAGGACTGTACTGAGACATACTGCCATCAAGATGATCTCTTTCCTGGGAAGCAAGACAATGGCAGGCCTCGTTATGCACGTGCTACATCAGAGTGGTTTTGTGGACATTCTACACCGGATTGGATGTGCTTGACTGGCCTATAGCCCATCATGAAAAAGAGACTCAAACAACAACGACTGTTGAGCTTGTATCAGGCGAGATTGGGCAAAAATTCCACTTGCAAAACTGCAACAATTAGTATCCTCAATTCCCAAATGATTAACAAGTGTAATTAAAAGGAAAGGTGATGTGGCACAGTGGTGAGTCTCACGTAGCCAGACCTTCAGACTGACGGACACCATCGCTTTCATTGCCCGAGGCCGTCTGATTGACATGTAAAGCAACCAATCACAGTTCATTTTGTTCCGCGACATGTTTAGGGGTGTGAAAATGTAATGTTGATGTCTCTACAATAACAGACCAGTGTGTCAAACTCTTGGACGTATTTTAAAGAGTCTACGCCACAAACTTTATATAGCCTACTTCACAGTTTTTTAAAATCCAGCGTTTAGTTGATCATGATAAGCGCTCATTATCACTGTTGTAAACACTATATGGCTTTCTTCTTCCATGAGGGGGTTTGGCGTCACGGCATCTTTGTTTCCAGGCTGACTGTTAAAAAATGGGGGACACGCACGACTCCCGGGAAATCCTGTAGAATTCAATCAATCAGATGATGACTTTGAAACTCCTGAAGTGTTTTCAATTTTGCATCAGACATTTAGCCAACGATCCTTGGGCATGACATCTGAAGCTGAGACTATACACAGTGGTTAACATGTCTCTGTTCCAACTTTTTTTGGAGTATGTTGCAGCCATCACAATCAAAATTTGTTCATATCTACAAAATACAATTTTTGTTGGTCAGTGAAACCATTAGAAATCTTTCCTTTGTACTTTTTTCAGTTAGCCTAAATAAAGGTTAAAAAGATTGAACAAATCACAGATTCTTAAATGTCCCAACTTTTCTGGAAATGGGGTTGTATACATTTTAGAGTAACTTACCCAACATTGTCTCTGACTAAATCTCACAAATGTTGATATTCAGATGAAATAGAGCATAGCCTTTCATCAAATGGGTTGAGACCATTTGTGGTTAAGAGAAAAAAATAAGGTAGGCCTACTACTATCTCATACCCTCAAAAAAAATAATAATCAAAATGAGGTCTCACACACAATGTCATTTATTTCTAGTATATTTTCGATTTTGCTATAGATAGTAACATATCTCTGAACATACAAAGAGGAGTTTTGTCATTCTGTTTCAACCTACTTAGATGAAAGGGGTCTACTACAGACACCCCCTAATCATTAGCCCCATAGATATCATATAATAAAGGCCTTTATTATATGATATCTATGATTAGCCCCCAGCCCCCCGCCCCCCTACCCAGATTTCCCATGGACTTCCGGTAGTACCGGAAGAACCTTTGTTTGTGTATGTCAAGATGGCGGCTGGAATGTATCTAGAGCACTATTTGGACAGTAAGACTATTGTCTTTGTTTCGATATTCATCCCCATAAATAAACATCTTTCGTGTTCACAGTGTCCAGCATGTCTGCACGTTTCACATACATACACTATTTACAAAAAAACGATCGCGCAACGACACAAAACAGTGCTAATAAAGACAGTACGGTTATTGGGCTCTGAAGCTAACGGGCTAACGGTATTTAAACAGTGTTATGATGTGAATGATGGTTTTGTAGATTTGTTTGGTGGGAGCGGAGGCGATAAATGTGACAACGTTACTGCTGTTAAAACATTTAAATAATGTAAATAAATACCTGGGAACATTAAAGCTCAGTGTCAAGCATTAAATGCAGTGTTCCAGCACAATCGAGTTCGCTTACTCGTAACGTTACAGATGGAGATCGTTTACTCTAGTGCTGGTTTGCAAAGGCGCTGAGCCTTATGGACCTATTTATTGCTTGCTATTTGTGTAGAAGATTCATATGTCACTTGATCTGTTTAGGCATAGAGAATTTGCCATTTGAACTGCAGAGGAACTTCCAGCTGATGCGAGATCTCGACCAGAGGACAGAGGGTGAGTCTACACAGTAGACCTGCCTCTAAATCAATACAGTAATATAGAATAATATCTTCATATCAATATTACATGTTTATATTGCGTGACTTATTAGAAATCTTATTAGGAATCTCTTCTAAAGTGATTATTTTAGTGTCCATTCCTCATCTTACATGTAACTTAGCCTACTTATTACAGTACTTAAAGTAAATTACATAATTGCATAACAGTAAATTGCATTATTTCAAGCAACTAAACCAAACCTAATTGTATAGTAAATGCACATTGTTTATTAATATTACTCTGTACTTATTTTTAGAATTACACTGTAATAGGGGCATCTTCAAATAAAGTTACATTTCTTCTTTCTGTAGATCTGAAAGGACAGATTGATTCTCTGGCTCGTGAATACACAGCTAACGCTCGGACATTGTCCTCCGAACAGAAGCTCTCCCTGTTAAGACAAATCCAGCAGTCTTATGGGAAGTGCAAGGAGTTTGGAGATGACAAGGTCCAGCTTGCGATGCAAACCTATGAGATGGTTAGTGTGAATTTTGCTCATTGCTAATGAACTGTTATAACAACTGCAAATTTCATATGTTATAAAAGTTATTGTAAATTATGATAATATTTCACAATATTTTGATCAAATAAAAGCAGCCTTGGTGAGCATAAGAGACTACTATCAAAAACATTAAAAAGATGGTATCAACACAAACTTTTCAATGATAGTGAATATTAAATGTATTGTAAAATGTATCTGTACTGTACATTTAGTTGCTTTATAACTCCATATGGTGGATCTAATTCCATTTATTCTATGCTTTTAGGTGGATAAGCATATCCGAAGGTTGGATACAGACCTGGCTCGCTTTGAGGCTGACCTCAAGGAGAAACAGATAGAAAGCACCGATTATGACTCTACCTCTAGCAAGGGCAACAAGAGTGAGTGCAACATAGGTACTTATGTCTATTAGTGCTGTTCTGACACATGCACATCTCATACGTGAATCTCATGCATCAACAGTGTTTCTGATGGTTTATTGTTTGAAGGTGATCATCGAGGACCCAAGAAGAAGGAGGTGACTCGCACTAGGTCAAAGGTGAAGAACTCTGATGATGATTGCAGCTCCAAGAGCGGACAGAAGAAGGTCAAACTCACGCAAGGGTGAGAATCACACACATTTTCTATGATATTTCAGATTTTATAGGTAAAGTGTGTCATTTTTGTGCCACTTTGTGACATCAAACAGAAGTGTAGAATTTATTTTTTTTACAACTGGTTTGCATTTGTAATTAAATATTTCTGCTTTGTACCCTTAGTACATAAATACTACCATTCAAATGTTTTGTTTTGTTCTGTTTTTCGAAATAAATGAATACTTTTATTCAGCAAGGACAGCAAAGACTTTAACAGATTTCTTTTTCAAATAAATCCATCTTTAGAACTTTTATTTGTTGGAGAATCACTGTTTCCATCAAAATATTAAGCTGCACAATTAATGTCTTCAACATTGATCATAAGAAATGTTTCTTGAGCACCATATCAGCATATTAGAATTATTTCTGAAGGATCATGTGTCACTAATGACTGGAGTAATGATACTGAAAGTTCAGCTTTGCATCACAGGAATACATAACCAGTTACAGTTAAAACAGTTGTAATAATATTTAAAAATATGACTGTTTTTACTGCATTTTTGGGTTTCAAATAAATGCAGCCTTGGTGAGCATAAGAGACTTCTTTCAAAAACATTTTTTTAAAATCTTACAGACCCCAAACTTTTGAATGGTAGTGTATGTGCCACAGACAGGATAAGTTTTGTTTTATTTTTCATCTTTTAATAGAGATTTGTTTAGACTGTAAGTCATAGACTGTTTGTGATGTTGAATAGATCAAAGGAGAGGGGAGCTGGAGCCTCCCAACATGTACATAAATATCTAAGAAGTTGTTTTGAAATACATTTTTAATGTTTAGAAATACCAAAGCGTTAGCGGTTTGCCCTACAGCCTGGTAAGCAGCATTTACATTTGCCTTTCTAACTGTTTCTGTCAATAAAAGGGGGGAAAATAATACAATTGTATTAAGACTTAGAGGTGGAAAAAATGGAACTCCGATTTACTAGTTCCTTTTAAATTCCAGCTCTGAGTTTTCAACCCCGGCTGTGAACTTTGGGAACGTGCACCCCTCGGATGTGTTGGACATGCCAGTGGACCCCAATGAGCCCACCTATTGTCTCTGCCACCAGGTTTCATACGGAGAGATGATTGGCTGTGACAATACAGACGTGAGTCTCCTTCCTCATGCACTGTGACAGAGGCCAACACGCTTACAGCCTCTCATACCTTATTGCTTACATATAGATATTTATTCTATATTTATTTTATTATATTTATTTCCCCTTTAAAAGTTAAAATGGAGGTTAAATTCCTAGTCATGTAACAGGGCTCCAGACTGCACAAAAATATGATTATATTTATCTTTATATTATATTATTATGTTATATTGTTGCTGAGAACACCATCGGCGACAAGATAAATGTACACGTTATGATTTAAAAATTGGCATGTAATGCCTTTTTTTACCTGCGTATTCTCTGATGAGTAGCCTATCACATCTTTTGTTGTATTGACATAACAAATGAGATGATGCGTATCAATGTTTCACTGGGAAAAAAACACTGAGTTTGATCGCCAAAATACTCACGAGGAAAGCGAGGATCAGATTCAGCAATTCTTATTCTCAAGATCTTTTAGTCTATGCTGTTTTCTGTAGCGCACGTGCCATTCAATAATCGCACTAAGCTTCATGCTTTGTTAGTTTTAATATGTTTGCTACTTTTAATAAACAATATCTCAGTTTTTAAATTGTGGCTCTTTAATTTGCCGTGACAGATCACTGTAGCGCCTCAAGCTGCACATGAACCGATCATCTCTTCTTTACTACTAGTTATAAAATAAACATGTATAAACACAAATAAACATAGCACGAAATAAACATGAATAAACATCAGAAGGTATGTTGAAAGACACTGTACAACTTGTTGTACAAAAACATTACAACAAATGTTTTATGTGTCATGCAATAGCTCAGTTAGTGTTTCAACCATGAAAAGACGTCAATAAAACCTCTTGAGAACAATATGTCACATAACTTACCTCACAATAGCCAATAAATGTCCATAGACTCGTTAGTCATTAAATAAATGCTCTATATTACATATCTATTATATTTTTACTTAACCTGTTGTCTACATGATGAGAAAGAATGGAAGGAGCTAAAAATACAATTTTGCATCGCCTAAGCTGCCTTTCACCAAATTTACATCTCAGATATTACTAATAAAGAAAAATAGACTGGGTATGTGCAAGAAATAGTGTATGAAAATGTTTATGCATTGAGAAGGAGGCCAAACTACACTCAATGGCCAAGTGATGCTAATTATTGTCCCTGACACTGGATCAGATTCTGTGTAAAGAACAACTATTTATGACTGTATATAGTTCTCAAGTTGGAAAAGCCGTTCAGTTCCCACTTCAAGTGATCGTTCTTTCCAGCTGATGCTGTAAAAGGAGGGCAAACGTGACAAGATGACTGAAATTAAAGTGTTTAAAAATTAAAGCACGTTTATTCTTATGTTCCACTTTTAAAAAAAAATTTTTTTTACTTTTAGGAGCCAATGGCTCCTTAATAGATTTTTTTTTGTCTGGAGCCCTGTAGTGTGTACTGAAAACTTCATTCCTTGATCCCAATGTTATATTACAGCCTATTCCTATACATTTGTATTCAGAGTTAATATGCTCATGTTAAATATGTGTTTCTCTTTCTTTAGTGTTCTATCGAGTGGTTCCACTTTGCCTGTGTGGGTCTGACCACCAAGCCCAGGGGGAAATGGTTAGTAGTCATGTGATTTTGCCCTTGAAACTGATGCAATTCAATGTTGCCGTACATCAGTGTAGAAATAAGTAACTCACAAAATAAAGCAATATTGAATAGCGGTTTTAGTGAATATTAGTGCTGTCAAATCGATTAATCGATTCTAAAATAAAAGTTTGTAGCCTAATATATGTGTATATATATATTATTATATTTATATATATATACATATTTTATATGTGTGTGTGTGTGTGTGTATATATACATACACTCACCTAAAGGATTATTAGGAACACCATACTAATACTGTGTTTGACCCCCTTTCGCCTTCAGAACTGCCTTAATTCTACGTGGCATTGATTCAACAAGGTGCTGAAAGCATTCTTTAGAAATGTTGGCCCATATTGATAGGATAGCATCTTGCAGTTGATGGAGATTTGTGGGATGCACATCCAGGGCACGAAGCTCCTGTTCCACCACATCCCAAAGATGCTCTATTGGGTTGAGATCTGGTGACTGTGGGGGCCATTTTAGTACAGTGAACTCATTGTCATGTTCAAGAAACCAATTCCTGCTGGAAGTAGCCATCAGAGGATGGGTACATGGTGGCCATAAAGGGATGGACATGGTCAGAAACAATGCTCAGGTAGGCCGTGGCATTTAAGCGATGCCCAATTGGCACTAAGGGGCCTAAAGTGTGCCAAGAAAACATCCGCCACACCACTACACCACCACCACCAGCCTGCACAGTGGTAACAAGGCATGATGGATCCATGTTCTCATTCTGTTTACGCCAAATTCTGACTCTACCATCTGAATGTCTCAACAGAAATTGAGACTCATCAGACCAGGCAACATTTTTCCAGTCTTCAACTGTCCAATTTTGGTGAGCTCTTGCAAATTGTAGCCTCTTTTTCCTATTTGTAGTGGAGATGAGTGGTACCCGGTGGGGTCTTCTGCTGTTGTAGCCCATCCGCCTCAAGGTTGTGCGTGTTGAGGCTTCACAAATGCTTTGCTGCATACCTCGGTTGTAACGAGTGGTTATTTCAGTCAAAGTTGCTCTTCTATCAGCTTGAATCAGTCGGCCCATTCTCCTCTAGCATCAACAAGGCATTTTCGCCCACAGGACTGCCGCATACTGGATGTTTTTCCCTTTTCACACCATTCTTTGTAAACCCTAGAAATGGTTGTGCGTAAAAATCCCAGTAACTGAGCATATTGTGAAATACTCAGACCGGCCCGTCTGGCACCAACAGCCATGCCACGCTCAAAATTGCTTAAATCACCTTTCTTTCCCATTCTGACATTTTTCAGTTTGGAGTTCAGGAGATTGTCTTGACCAGGACCACACCCCTAAATGCATTGAAGCAACTGCCGTGTGATTGGTTGATTAGATAATTGCATTAATGAGAAATTGAACAGGTGTTCCTAATAATCCTTTAGGTGAGTCTATATATATATATATACAGTATATATTAACTTTTATTTTAGAATCGATTAATCGCGATTAATCGATTTGACAGCACTAGTGAATACATTTGTATATTTCAACTTTTACCTAATTTTTCTTCTTCATTAGGTACTGCCCAAGATGTTCACAGGAACGGAAGAAAAAATGAACATGCAAAACAAAAGAATTCACAGAGAGGGAGGTAGAGGCAGATGCAAGGGTTGAAAGTGTTTTTAAGGCCCCCCATAGACACTAATATAGATCCACTCTCTGCTTAATCTGGTGCTTGTCATCCTCTTTTCCATCTTCACATCCCTCTCTCAGCCAGACAGTAAGAAGGGATGACGGGTGAAGATGAAGGAGGTGTAGGTTTTAATTTATGTATTCAATAATGAAGATGACTTTTGTTATGGAGTATTTTTGGTTCTGCATTATTTTATATTCTTATATTTTCGGTTTGTTTATTTGGATTGTTTTTATAAAGCTAATTTTAAACACATGAACTCAGCAGTCAAAACAGTCAGGGAGCGTATCAACACTTGATCTCACAGTTCTTTTTGACTGGGTTTTAACTCCAGACTGGATAATTGCTGTCAGTATCCTTCTCAGATGGTTTCTAATATGGGATTATTTCCTACTAGTCTCAGTTTTTGACTTTTAAAAAGTGGAACAGGTCCCAGAGTGGGCTTGAAACCGATCCCTTACCTAACTTATTTTCTCATTTCAATATTCATAAAAGGGCAAGAGTTATATCAACATACCTCACCAGATCTGACATGTTTATATGACAAAAAAAAAAAAAAATAGCTGCTCACTGGGATCATTTAACTTGATTTTTACTCACACTCAGTACAGAGCCTTTCCACTATTGTGTCTTTGTCTTACATTCACAAATCCTGCACTTGAAGACCACCTCTTCTCTTCAGGTCCATTCCACAACTGTAGATTTCAATGCAGACATTTTTTTGGTGCTTATGGTCACACACTACTTAGATCGTATTAACTCGGTCGTATTCCAGACTGTTGAAAAGCATTAACACAGCATGTAATGTTCAATTGAACACCTGGTCATTAAATGCATTTTCTTTTTGTAACCTATGAATTAACTCTAGTATTGCTGCGAGTTAAGCAGCTGGGTTCTTTGCGACTGGATTTTGGTGCTTATGAATATATTAAAGATGATGTGTTTGGTTTGGTTAAATGCGTGAAATACACAGTACAGCTTGCAATGGTTCTCAGTCATTGTGTCGACGTTGTTAAAGCAGTATGATACTTTTTGCGAGATGTCAGAATCAAATGTGTTGATATCAACTTGTACGTAAGATTTGGTTGTTTTAATAAAGCAATTACAGGTGTGTCAGACAATGCAAACAGTTTCAAATCCTGGTGCTACACTGTGTGCTTTGCCGGTTCTAATTGATTATATTGTCTGGTGTACGATGAAGGGTTTGTGTCATGTGTTTATTGCCTTTGTGACGTTGCTTTGTGATTTGATTGTTCCCGATATTCTAGAGTACTGTACTAATGTCAGATAATGGGTCTGGTGTCTTCCATGCTGAATGAACAATGCCTGATTCTGAAAGCGTCACTGTGTCTGTTGGTCATTATTTCATTCTTTCTGGCTTTTTTTGAATGTTATGGTCAGAAAAGTGTCATGACCGTAGTGTAAAATATTTCAAGTAATCTCAGTATTTAATCATATAATTTAACAAAAAATTTTATTTACACTATCGTTCAAAATTTTGGGGTCAGTTTCATTTTTTTAATAAGTTTCAAGACTATTTATTTGATGAAAAATACAGTAAAAACAGTAATATTGTGAAATATTACAATTTAAAATAACTATTTTAAAATGTAATTTATTCATCTGATAGCAAAGCTGAATTTTCAGCATCATTACTCCAGTCTTCAGCGTCACATGATCCTTCAGAAATCATTTTGATATACTGATTTGGTGTTAAGTAACATTTCTTCTTATTATCAATGTTGAAAACAGTTGAGCTGCTTAACATTTTTGTGGAAACCGAGATACATAGATTCTTTAATAAATAGAAAGATTAATAAAAGAACAGCATTTATTTTAAATATAAATCTTTTGCAATATTATAAATGTTCAGTGTCATTTTTGTTCAAGTTAATGCATTCTCTCTGAATAAAAGTATTCATTTCTTTCAAAGTAAAAACGGTAATACATTTAAACGGTTATATAGTATATGGTGGCATAGCCTCTGAAATATCTATAGAGACATTGCACAGGAAAGGTAAGTCCACGATAGTGTAATACTGCATTGCAGTTCTCATACAAACCACTAGAAGCACCCTATCACTTGTAAGAGATCCACGTTGTGCAATGCTGCAGTGATGCTACCGTAATGCTGCTTGTGGTCCTGATGCTGCTAAAGTACCTCCATGGACTTAAGACCTTTATTGTAAATCGTTTTGTTAACACAATTGCTGAAAGTAAAATAAATATAATACAAAATTTGTAAATACATTGCATGAAGAGCTAATGCACCTTTAACAGGGTGCGGCTGCCTGCAGAGAGCGTCATTAGCTGTTGTTGCCGCCTAGTGACACTCAAGGGGGATTGCATTGTTATTATTAACTGCTACACATAAAAATTGGCCATTACTTTAACTAGAACTAACTAAAGGAATTAATTTCTGCATGTACACAGTTAAAATGGTGTAGGTTTCAGAAAGTCTTTAAAAACGTTCACTGGCTCCATGCATATTAGATACGTTGTTGATCTTCCGTAAGGAAATGTGCTGGACATAAAAAAAAAACAACAACAGTGCATTTCTTATTTATTGAGCTGTGGGGATGAGCAAGATGCCAGACAGAACATCATTCTAACCTACACGGGGACTGCCAAGGCTTTGGGCAAAGTCATCCCAGAGCTCAATGAGTATGTGGACACTGTAAATAATGATGTGCAAATGGAATCAGTAGGCTACAATTTATGGAAGAACTTTCTTCAGAAGAAAATTGATGACTATGTGCGCTCCAGCAAACAGACAGATAGATCGGTCAAAAGTATGGAATAATTATGATTTTTTTTTAAATGATTATTATTATTGGTTTTGAAAAAAGTATTTTATGCTCACCAAGGCATTTATATCACCAAAAATAAAAAGTTTGTATAAAGAAAGAATTCATTAAAGTATTAAAATGTATCAAAAGTGACAGTAAAGACATTTATAATGTTACAAAAAGATTGTTTTTCAAATAAATGTTTTCATTGAACTTTCTATTCATCAAAGAAACCAGGAAAAAAAACATTATCAAGGTTTCCACAAAAATATAACGCATCAAAAACATAACTAATAATAAGAACCAGCATTAATAACTGAGCACTAAAAAAGTAACTGATCATATCTGAGCAGCAAATCAGCATATTAGAATGATTTCTGAAGGATCGTGTGACACTAATGATATAATGATGCTGAAAATTCAGCTTTGCCATCACAGGAATAAATTACATTTTCAAGTATATTAAAATAGAAAACAGTTATTTAAAATCGTAATTTTATTTCACAATATTACTGTTTTGATAAAAATCTTAATTATTCCAAAAATGTTGACCTGTATACTGTAAATAGACATAGGCCTATCACATCCACTGAGTCATACTGCACTGACTGTAAAACTGTAAAAAGTGATCAGTTGACTTAACTAAAAAAAAAGGTGAGGAAACCCGTTGAGTTACCGTAAATTTATTTAGTAATATTCATGCATAATTGAAAAAATTAAGATATGTGAACTTGACAATTTCACATTACTTATTTTTTTTGTTACGCATGGTTTACTACATAATAATTTTAAGGCAACAGGTTTCCTCACTTTTTTTAAGTTAAGTCAACTGATCACTGAACTCATTTTTTCTTTTCATGTACATGCATTTGAATAATTACTCAAAACAGACATTATTGTCTCGCAATACCATTAGCAAGTGCTATTCACTCCCTATTATAGTGATTATACATGGTTAACTTCTCATTGTTTGCTTAACTATAATCTGACTCTTGATTTTCTTGATATTTGACATTGATGTGATATGATTGTCATGGAGCTTCCAGTGGACCTGCAAAAGCCTGTAATCACCCCTTCATCCAGATCACTTTACACAGCATGTCATTATGTGACTAGCTGTGATGTTGATGAGTCACTGTATCTGAAATAAATTTTCGATCATATAACTCATTAACCTTTTTTATTATTTTCTGATCGACCTGTAAACTGCGCCCCCAATAGATATGTATTACATGTGTTTACATATTTAATGCCAATTTCCCTGATTAATGTGATTTGTGTGTGTGTGTGTGTGTGTGTGTGTGTGTGTGTGTGTGTGTGTGTGTGTGTGTGTGTGTGTGTGTGTGTGTGTGTGTGTGTGTGTGTGTGTGTGTGTGTGTGTGTGTGTGTGTGTGTGTGTGTGTAATGAGGGTGAGCTTGCAGTGCCACACAATGAAGTCCTCTATTTGCGCTTTTCTGAGTCCTGCTTGTTCTATTCAACTGTAAAACACTTTGTAAACAGTGTTGAATAAAGCTTTACTGTCTACTAGGCCTACTTACTAATAATAGCAAATGTAAAACATATGCTTTGGATGTATTCTGTTTTAAAATTATATTTGGAGAACTTTTTTACTGCGTAGAATGACTTTATACCCAAGACCATTGCTGTAAATCATAGATTTATATATATTAAACAGATTTCATACCCTGATCCCAGACCCAGATTTTATACCCTAAAAGAGAGTTTTACTTTTATACTATGAAAATATTCTATAAAAGTAAATATTTCTCTCAAAAGTTAGTGCGCTCAGTTACCAAGGAGGCAAAAGTGTCAGTGAGATGAAAATGAAAAGAATTAAGGTATTACTCTGTCATTTCAAATCAACTATAAGTTTCACAAACTATGGAACGTGTGAGAAAATATTATGCAGGCTATTATGTAATTATAGCTAAGATACGCTATTTTGTTCAACATAATACTGCTAAACACATAATTCGACATGTTGTGGAAATAACATTGGTGGAAACATTCAGATAAAAAGTGTTTGAATACATTTCTGAATTTTTTACTTTTCTAAAGGTCCACATTGGCGAAAGTGTTTATAGTTGAAGACAACCCTTTGTATTGTCGGAATGCCATATTCATAAATGCAAAGAACGTTTTTTTTTTTTAAGTAGATGGATGCTTTGACTTATAGGCCTACTGTAAAAAACTTGAAATTGCTTTATTCTTATTTAGATGTAGCCTTTAGGTTTGTCGTGGTATTGGGTCTTGTTGTTGTACAAACCTAATAAAAAAAGTCGCAAAAATAATATACTAGGCCTTCTGTTTGGTTCGGATGCTGCACGCTCGGCCGTCACAATACTGTTTCCAATCACAGTCAGTGACGTGAGGGTACACTTTCGCTACCGTAAATCCCAGAAACAAACAAACGCACATTTAAAATTGTGAGCTTAAATATTGGACAATGAAATATAACGTAGCAATCCCTGACGTGAAATGTCTTATTTTACAGCATCGATTAAACTATACACCTTGAAGTCTGCAAAACTTGACAAACTGTCGCGATTCGCGCGAGGCAGGCGCTTATACTAACTAATCACGGTAAGAAGGAGCCGCAGTTGCTTCTCTCATGTTTATCTCCGCTGGAGCCTGGCTGTTCCGCTATGAAGACGCGTTTAATCCTCTCTAAGAAAACAACCACGTCTGTAAAGGTACTGGCATAACAAATAGCATGCAAATACGCGCAACCCGTCCGTATGTCACATTAAAAGACTGCCATATAATTGAAAGGCTTCAGTTTGATCGGATTCATTCATTTGGTCCTCCTGAATCGGACAAGTGTTCCTTCAGTTTATTAACTTCAGAGGATCAGCTTTGAAGGCACACAGTTAAATCAGTGTTCATGCCGGACTTTGAGCATTTTAGATTTTCTCATACCAGAATGAATCCTGTATTAGGGGAGAACGTGTATTCGTTCCAACAGAACCAGGTGACGGGCTTCGCGGACTCCGCGTCATCGGGCCACTGGACCGATCCAGCGGGCCTTTTCTTGAGCGAACACACGGGTGGCTTCGGGCAAGATGGGTTTGACCTGGGCGCTTTACCCCCTCCCGGGACACCGTATCTACACCTGGGTAACTATCTTCACCGGGTGTCTCCACCTGCTCCTGCCGCGACGGCCCTGCGTAACGACCTGGGATCCAACATCAGCGTCCTTAAAACTCTAAATTTGCGTTTCCGCTGCTTTTTAGCCAAAGTGCATGAACTGGAACGTCGGAATAATGTGTTAGAAAAGCAACTGCAACAGGCTTTGGATGACAATGCAGAGTGTGTAGAAAATAGAAAGCCTTTAACGCGAGATGTTGGGGTTCAAACCGGCTTCGTTGGATTGATTCCTGTTAGGCCAGACCTGATACCCATTCAGAACGCGAACGACACCGCATATCTGTCCGGAACATTGTTGTCACCTGCTTTCAATAACACCACCCTCCCTTTCGAGTCCAATAACAGGACAACAGTTGAAAACTTGAACCCATCCAATCTGACAGACTCTAATTTCAATCTCACCCCAAATTTCCCCATCAGCCCGATTGATCCTGCTCCAAAAATCACCAGCAATGTTAACGGGAAATATGTCAGTACCGGGATTGGTTGTACCAGCAATCTTCCACCCAGATTTCACCCTGGCTCTGTCTGGTCTTATAATCCGAGGTTCAGCACCGGGCGTGAGTCGCGGTTCTCGGGTACAGGTGTGTCGTCATGGGTGCCTCCAGACGGGGTGGGTGTCCAGATCGACACCATCACCCCAGAGATTCGGGCACTGTATAATGTGCTCGCCAAGGTAAAGAGAGAGAGAGACGAATACAAAAGGAGGTTAGTATGTGTGCAATGTGATGTTCTTGTAAATGACTGTATAAAGCTTCAAAATGCAACTTTTACGCACAACTTTACGCGCTCTTTGCGCGCGCAATGCAACTTCTGTAGCCTTTCCATGCCAGTTACATCTAGTCAGTATGATAATATAGCTATACAGTACCAGTCAAAAGTTTGTATCTTATGCTGCATTTATTTGATCAAAAATACAGGAAAAAAGTAATATTGTGAAATATTATTACAATTTAAAATAATGGTTTTCTATTTGAATACTTTAAAATATAATTTATTCATCTGATGTCAAAGCTGAATTTTCAGAATCATTACTCCAGTCTTCAGTGTCACATGCTATTATGTTATAATGTTTTTATAACCTGTGATACTTTTTTCATGATTCTTTGATGAATAAAATGTTTTTTTTTAAAAGAACAGCATTTATTCAAAGTAGAAGTCTTTTGTAACAATATGTTCAGAAGTTTGGGGTCAGTCATTTTTTTCTTTCTTTTTTTAAAGAAATTGATACTTTTATTCAGCAAGGATGTGTTCAATTAATAAAAAGTAGTAAAGATTTATATTGTTAGACAAGATTGCTATTTTAAATAAAGGCTGTTCTTTTTAACTTCTGAAAAAAAGTATCACATGTTTAAAAAAAATATTAAGCAGCATATTAGAATGATTTCTGAATGTGACACTTAATACTGGAGTAATGATTCAGCTTTGCATCACAGAAATAAATTATATTTTAAAGTATATTTAAATAAAAAAATAAAAAATCTGTATTTTTTATCAAATAAATGCAGGCTTGATGAGCAAGAGACTTCTTTCAAAAACATTACACATAGTAATGTTTCCAAACTTTTGACCGGTATGTGGATGGAGTACCTTTGCTTTGTTGGATGTCATTAAAACGCATGTAGAAATTTTATTTAAAATCAAACCATTAAATTGACTGCTAGCTAGCATTGTATTTGGGTTTGTGTAGTTCTTTCCCCCATAAAAACTGAAAAACCCTCATTACCATCATATATCATTACCATAACAGAAAATATTAATATGCAGCACACATTATACAGTGCACTCTGGTAATATAGACCAGTGAATCCCGATGTTAACATGTTTCTAGCAGAATCTTCATTAACAAAACAACATCCACTAAAGCAGAAATCCTCAGGTTTCACCACCGTGACGTGAGATTAATACTAGTGTATCATTGAATATTCTTATAAGAGCTCTAACAGGGTTAGACCTGTTCAACTCTGTGGCCCTCACAAATCTGGTATAGTAGATGTGCTCAATGCTCAATTACATGAGCATTTTGTGGAATTTGTATGAATGTGTTTGCACTTTTCTTTAGCAAGATTTAACTATTAGGGCTGACACTGACTCTAATCTATCTCTAATTCATTTAATTTAATTTCATAAACAGAATTCACCTACTGTATATTACTCTTCTTACTGTATAAACAAACACAGTGCATATCAAAATGAACTTTGTTGCTTTTTTCTGGGGCTTTTTTTATGTAATTTTTAAAGGGTATATTATTTCTAAACACATAATGTCATCCTTGTGTCAGATACTTTGATATAATGAAAAATATGTTAGAATATCATTTCTTGATTTTATTTTCAGTTATTTTTGCCCTAGACCCCCATTAGTTAATTAACAAATTATTTAAAATATAGTAAAAATGCTGTAGGATTATCGTTTGCATTCAATAGTTTAAAGTTATTACATTGTTTAGGCATATTTCTTATTCATTTATTTTATTTTGAATATAATATGTTATGTTTAAATTGGACCACTACCTGATTCTCTTTCAGTGTTGTAGTTGTTGTTGTTTTTTGTCTTTTATTGTTACCTAAAGTATGTTTAGGCAAACTATATCATATTATATTATATAATTTTTTAATAGAGGTTAAAAATAGAGGTTTTAAATTTAAAGCATTAATATTATAACATGTGAATAATGCTAATTAGTATTAAATTATAATTTTAGGAGGGTTTCAGAACAATACATGACTAATGAGTAAAATAACATGGAGTTTGAGTCAATCCCCTGTATAACCCTCCCTCCCGATGAGTCTCCATCTCTCTCATTCCGTCTTCAGCCTCCTCCCCTCTGCGCCCTAGCATCTGCAATGCAGTACTGAACTGAGTGCTACTGCCAGCATGCCAATAGAGAATCATTCAACAATCTCTCTCTTACCTTCCTGTTCAGCCTCCCTAGACTTCCACCAGCTGCCAGATACTGAGTATCAGCCAAAATAGCACAGTCAGGTTTACTTCTCAAGAACCCCTTTGTTGTATGTTTTTCTGTGATATGTTCTTATTGTTTTTCAGTTGTATATGTGATTCAGTGGCACCTGGTTTCTGGAATTGCTGATTCAGCTGTCAGTGTATTCGTTGGTGTGTTAAGAAGAAAGTTATTTGGATGTTATTTCAGTGTTACACTAACATAAATCACCTGCTCTAACACCTGCAGTGATACTGCAGTTATGGACTAAAACGGAAGAGGTGTGTGTGTGTGTGTGTGTGTGTGTGTGTGTGTGTGTGTGTGTGTGTGTGTGTGTGTGTGTGTGTGTGTGTGTGTGTGTGTGTGTGTGTGTGTGTGTGTGTGTGTGTGTGTGTGTGTGTGTGTGTGTGTGTGTGTGTGTGTGTGTGTGTGTGTGTGTGTGTGTGTGTGTGTGTGTGTGTGTGAATGAGAGAACTGTCCTGCACTTCCTGTCTCTGGCAGTAGTGTGCATCTCTTATGTGGACAGTCTGGTGACACATTACAAAATGGCACAAAAAAGGGGATGATATACTACTTGAACACTGTACTATCAACCCAAACTGTTGGGTCATGTTACATGAGAGATCCCTGGAGATTAATTTGCTCTTTGCTGGTGGTTGCATTTTATGTGTGGAAGTGTAGAATTTCATGTTTATTTTTGTAGAGTTGTACAGACTCAGTTTTGAGTCAAATTCAGATTTTTTTAAAACCTTTTTTTACACAATTTAAATTTTTTTATTTTTAAATGCATGTAATTTCATATATATTTACATCTTTATATGCAACGTATAACTAAGCCGCCATTATAGGTTGGATTACAGACAGTTTTGTTTGATATTTTCTTGAATGATCAAAGCCAAGGTATACAACAGTACAACCCATTGCAGTAAATGGACATCAAATTAAATCTGGCATTTAACCTGATTAAGTTCAGTTCTGTTTGGTTATGCTAGTGACACATAAATTTCACACTTCACTTTTTAAAGAAAGTAGTACCTCAGTTTTTCCTCCTCCTACATTAGCAACTTGCGTCAAGGAACTCAAGCTTTGGCTTGATGCAAATTAGTTCAAATTTAACTCGGGTAAAACAGAGGTAATACTGATCGGCTCTAAATCTGTTGTATGTAAATTATCCGGTCAAGTGATAGATTTGGATGATGACTTGATAATGCCCTCTACGACAGTTCGAAATCGATTCCACTCTTTTATTTAATGATGACATCGGTAAAGTGGTAAAGACAGCTTTTTTCCACCTACGTAATATCTCTCATATTCGATCTTCTCTTAGTCAGCATGTCACGTACTGCTCTGAGACACAAAGGTTGAGGATCCAAAAAGGGGAATCCAAGGAACAGGCAAAGATTAAAAAACCAAGAACACGGGAACAACAGAGAGAATGCTCGGAATTGCAGTAGAAACACTAAACAAGACTTCGCAACGAATGAATGAGTGTACATGGTTTAAATAGGCACAGACACAAGTGGATGCAATCAGGGATGATGAGTCCGGGCAGTGAGTTATGGGAAATGTAGTTTGTGAGGGAATGACAATAGTCGGATGTGGAGTGCCCTCTGGTGGCTCTCAAGGGCGCTCCAGCTGGCGACCGTTACACAGCAGGATGCTGAAACAATATGTTCAAAACTCTGCAGCCCGCTTGATAACTCACACAAGAAAGAATGAGCACATTACTCCAATCCTCTATCACCTTAATTTGGCTTCCGGTTTCCTTGCGTATAAACTTCAAGGTACTAATCCTCACTTACAAAGCTCTCCATAACCTTGGTCCTACTTACTTATCTGACTTACTTCAGCCTTATGCTCCTGTTGGTTACTTGCGCTCTTCTAGTGCGGGATTGTTAGTCACCCCTAAGTTTAGTCTGGTTTAGTCAGGTCTTTCAGTGTTGTGGTTCCTAGGTTGTGGAATGCTCTTCCTCAAGACAATCCGTCAAGCTTTCACCCTTCTCTCCTTCAAAAACCTCTTAAAAACACGTTTTTTCTCTGAATGTTACTCTTCAGCTCTCAGTCTGTAAATTGTACCTTGTTATGGATATGTTATTAGTTTGAATCCTTCTTTGTTTGTATATTTTGTAAGCGACTTCTGTATATTACTTTCTGCCCTTGGTATGTGTTTTGTGTCTTGATGTTGATATTTATTTGGTTCTGTTCCTTAACCTATCTTTGTAAAGTGACCTTGGGTGTTAGAAAGACGCGATATAAATAAAAAATATTATTATTTATTTATTTTATTATTTATATATCATAATTTAACATTTTAATAAAATTGAACACAATTTATGTATTTATTTATTTACGAATTAATAGATAGATAGATAGATAGATAGATAGATAGATAGATAGATAGATAGATAGATAGATAGATAGATAGATAGATAGATAGGTAGGTAGGTAGATAGATAGATAGATAGATAGATAGATAGATAGATAGATAGATAGATAGATAGATAGATAGATAGATAGATAGATAGATAGATAGATAGATAGATAGATAGATAGGTAGATAGATAGATAGATAGATAGATAGATAGATAGATAGATAGATAGATAGATAGATAGATAGATAGATAGATAGGTAGGTAGATAGATAGATAGATAGATAGATAGATAGATAGATAGATAGATAGATAGATAGATAGATAGATAGATAGATAGATAGATAGATAGATAGATAGGTAGGTAGGTAGATAGATAGATAGATAGATAGATAGATAGATAGATAGATAGATAGATAGATAGATAGATAGATAGATAGATAGATAGATAGATAGATAGATAGATAGATGATTATCATATTTGAGACCTGATATGATATAATTGGTTGTGATTGTGTGATTGGCCAATTGTCTCGTCTTATTAATTATTCTAGATGGGAAGAGGAATACGCAATGCGGATGGATCTTGAGGAAAAAGTTGCTGAGCTTGAAGAAGTAAGACCAAATCAATTTAATATTTAAATGAATTAAACTAATAATCAAATCTTATTTTCCACTGTCTCCGATCAGTGCATCTGATGACACTTGTTGTGCTGCACTATGTGTTGCAGGACCTGCAGGAGAGCGAGGTGTGCCAGGATGAACTTGCTCTGAGGGTTAAGCAGCTTAAAGCGGAGCTGGTTCTGTTCAAAGGCCTCATGAGCAATGTGAGTTAAGCACAATATTCACGTGACCTGACCTCAAAAATACCTCAGTAAGTCATTTAGTCAATATCGTTTATTTCAATAGAAGCACAAATAATGCTGAGTCCAGTCAAACGGTGTCCCACAAATGTCTTAGCAGAGTAATTGATCCTCTTTACTTGTCCATTCCATTTTAATTAGACAAATTCAAAAATACCCTCACTTATTCTCTTTCATTTCCCTTCTCTCCTTTAGAATCACTCAGATTTGGACAGTAAGATCCAGGAGAAGGCCATGAAAGTGGACATGGATATCTGTCGCAGGATTGACATCACGGCTCGTCTGTGTGATGTAGCGCAGCAGAGAAATTGTGAAGACATGATTCAGATCTTCCAGGTTTGTCTTTCATCATCAGCAGTTACAGTTACATGAAGTACACCTGTGTGTGTGTGTGTGTGTGTGTGTGTGTGTGTGTGTGTGTGTGGGTGTGTGTGTGTGTGTGTGTGTGTGTGTGTGTGTGTGTGTGTGTGTGTGTGTGTGTGTGTGTGTGTGTGTGTGTGTATGTGTGTGTGTGTGTGTGTGTGTTTACCATTGTTTATAGTGTTGCAAAAGATATCTATTTCAAATAAATTAACTTTTAAAGAATACTGAAAATAATCTATCACGGTTTCCACAAAAATATTAAGCAGCACAACTGTTTTCAATATTGATAATAAAAAGAAATGTTTCTTGAGCACCAAATCAGCATATTTGAATGATTTCTGAAGGATCATGTGACTCTGAAGATTTTTATTCATATTACTGTTTTCCAGCAAGTAGCCACACCTCCGTCAACCTTGACTCGCCGTCCTCGAAAACCAGCGTCACAGACAATCAGAGGGAACGAGAGTGATGAACCAGTAAGCATCTCTGAAAGTGAGGAAAGCGGGAATAAGGAGGTGGATCTGTGTTGCTCATCAGCCAATCAGATCAATGAGGAGATGCAGAGGATGCTCAGTCAATTGTAAGAGGCACCATTGAACATCTGAATTTTTTTATACAGACTGTTTCAAATCATTTGAGAGAAGGAGTGTTTGTTTTTATGCCCCAGACGCGAATGCGAGTTTGAGGATGACTGCGACAGTCTTGCATGGGAAGAGACGGAGGAAACTCTGTTACTCTGGGAAGATTTCCCAGGATACACCTTCAGTGTTGAAAACCAAGGAGAGGTACATCCATCTTTTATTAGTTTTTCCAGTGATGGACTTTGGAAATGACATCGGCATGATAGAATTATATACACTGTAGAAAAAAAAAGTTGCTGTCTTAAATTTCTAAGTACAGGCACCTTGGCTGTATATTAAATTATATTAAACTGACTTAAAAAAATTGAGTTGAAACTTGAAAATTGCTTAACTTATTTTGATGAGTAATTTAATGTAAAAACATATGTTGTCATGACTGATTGATCATATAATTTTTTACAGAGTATGAAATGAATCCAATTACACCTGGGAAAAACAAACATGCATTTGAACAGCTGAACATGCAGACTCATTTAACATCCAAATATAAAATTTAAGTTTGCATTTGCATAATATTTATTTAAACCAAGTCATCAAATCTCATGAAGTTTATACATTTTTAAAACTACAGAATAGATAGATAACTACAGTATTGCAGTAAAAAGCAGTTATCTTCTGGTGTTGCTTTTTTAAAAGATTTATACATTATTCAGTCTAATATTTTGTTACATTTATCTAGCTTTATTTTTGACCTATTGATATGTTTTTCCGTCCAAATGTTTCGAGCAGGCACACAGAAAATACCCGTAATACAAGCATAATATGAAAACGCTCACACTAGGCCTAATACAGCTTAGTGGTTTTTGTTGGCTCATCAGTTTTGCTATAAACGGCAAGCGAATGAGAAAAAAACAAAACACTGAGTCACCATTTTAACTGAATTGATTTCCATCATGTAGAGAAAGCTACAAGACATCTCCCAAAAAAAATGTCTTTGCTAATTCACCCTGTCTCACACAGCAAGACGAGTCCATAGAGAAGGTGATAAAGGACACAGAGTGCCTTTTCAAGTCCCGCGAGAAGGATTATCAAGATACCATTGACCAAATTGAGGTAAAGAGATTGTGCTTGTGCCTAAAAACCTAACTCTGCATGTCTTTCTGTTACTTTAAGTTTGTTTTGTGTTTGTCTGTACCTGTAGTTGGAATTGGCAACTGCTAAGTCTGATATGAACAGGCATTTGCATGAGTATATGGAGATGTGCAGCATGAAAAGAGGGCTGGATGTTCAAATGGAGACCTGCAGACGACTAATCACTCAGACAGGAGACAGGTACACACATAAACATACACTCACACACAGACACAGACATTCTTGAATATGCGGGACTCTTGAATACTTGAATATTTACGGGGACTCTCCATAGGCAGAATGTTTTTTTGAATTGTACAAACTAAACTACCCATTGCAGAATCATTTTTAAGCCATTTGGTTTACGAGGTCACAGGAAATGTCCTCATAAACCATGTTTACGTTGTAAAACCCATGTCATTACACATTTGTGTCATCATAAACCATAAGAGTACAGACACACACACACACAAAAAAGAAGACTAGTCATGATAGTCATGTTGTAGGTTCAGAGGTTTACATAAATAACTATTTCAAACTGCCTTTTTTTACATCAACATTTTTGTAAGGTTTAATTAAGGTTTAAACAGTTTTTTAACAAGAGTCTTTGCTCTGCATCAGAACTTCTCATTCTGGACCACTCATCATAAATTTGCACAAGCTTTTGCCATATATGTGAATTAAAAAAAATGACTGGCAAACATACTCTGGTTCTGTAAAGAAAACAGCTGCGAATTAATTAAATGTGTTTTTGTTAAAAAAAAAATAGACTAATTTAAACCCTTGTTTGTGATTATTGATTATGTTGCACTGTAAATTATTTATTTTTCTAATAAAGAAGTTAAAAAGTGGATTTAAGCACATTTTATATTGCCCTTTTACCCCATCACATATTTTATTTGAGTAATTATCATAAATGAGATATTGAATTTGTCATAATATGAGAATTTGAAAGCTTAAACACTCAAAATTGATCCTGTGAAAATCAGTTGCCGATTTTCTACTTTAAAACCTCATCAACCACATAAAGCGTTTTTAAAGTTTTAAAGTCCCCCTGCATTTAATCATTTTATCTCATAAAACTCCTCTTTCCCTGTGAAAATGATTCCTTCATGCCTTAAAAGGTTAATTCACCCAAAAATTCAAATTAGCTCATAATTTACTCACCCTCAAGCCATAGGTGTACATGACTTTGGCTCATCCAATCTTTATAATGAGAGTGAGTAACGCCCGTATGCGAGTCTAGTTCCAGCAGAAGAGTGACCTTTGACTCGACGCAAGCTTAGTTGTGAGTAGCGGTGTTAGCAGTGTTTTGCTCTATCCTCTGCGCTTCCGCATTCATCAATACATCATGCGTCGGGTCAGAGGTCACTCTTCGGCCGGAACTCGACTCGTGTACGGCCGTTACCGGAAGCCAGTCATTATAGTTTATAAAGTCATAAATATGGTTCTTTTTCTTACAAAAACACATCGCTTCACTTCAGAAGGCCTTTATTTAAAATAGCTTGAATGTAACTCTATACCCATGCTTCATTTATTATACGCAGAACCATGAGTATGCAAATTAGTCCCAGTTAGTTACCACAATGGCAAGTGGTAATATTGGTTTCATTCAGTATGTTTGAACTAGAAACTGATTCAGAAGAAGAAGAGGAAGAGTGAATTATAGAGGCTTGTCTACAAGTTAATTTATCAGAATGGTAATGCGTTTTATTAGCCTGACGTCGTCATTCTCAGATTCTAGTCAGAATGTGAGTCTGATACTGCTCCATTATGGGGCGTGTTTCAACCGAACCAGGAAAGAAAATGCCTCTGCACTCAATTGGATTGACAAATCCCTTGATCGCGCTTCTCTGTTCCTCTTTTAAAATGAATGCGCTGTCTACATCTTCTATAACAGACGCGATGGCGGAATCTACACATCTAAATTCTCCAGTGGCAGCCATTTAAATTCAATGAATTCAACCCAAGCGCTCTTTGGTGACGTGGATGATTACGTTACGGTTGATCATCTGTCCATCATCGTATAAAGCCCGCCCTGACAATTTGATTGGTCCGAACAGCTTTGGTTCGGGCGTACTTGCTTCACAACGGATCAAGTCCAGACCGAACTTCCCGACCTCAAATGTTGTGGGCGGGGCTAAGTTCAGCTGGCATCCAGGCTAGCGTTTTATGTATTGCTCTCTACAACGTCGTACAGTAATTGATATGATTAGCCTTCGGCTTGAATATGTTATCAAACAGCTTATGTTGCTAATGTTACACAAACCATGTTCCCGTTCACCATTTCAGAGTCAGACAGCTGCCTTTTTAAAATCAACATTCTTAGAAACGCTTTCAACATCATAATAGAAGCAAGTGGAGAAACGCCCCGCTCCACATGGTGACGGGATTGGTTATATGTATAAGCCGGTAGGAAACAGGGGCGGTTTCAAACTGTGTTTTTAAGATTGTCTCTGATACACTGCAGTTTTAAGGAGAAAATACTAATTTGCACAGGGTTTGTAAAGCCTATTTATACAACATTGAGACATATAAACAACATTAAAAACTTGATTTTCACCACTGGGATCTTTAAAATTGTTCTTTTCCTTTTTATTCGAAAAGTGGGTTGTGTTCCTAAAATGATGTGTAAAGATGAAGTTGGCTGCAAGTCATAGTGTAAACCATTGACTGTAACAGTGGCATCTTTGGCTTTAAAAGATAATGTGAAAGATGACATGAAAGTGCGTTCTCCTGTTGTTTTTGACCCCTTCACCTTTTGTTGCTTACTATGGAGGGTGAAGCCAGACACCCACTGTTGTCCCTCATTTCCTTCACAGTAAATCCCCTCTTCTTGTTCCGGCTGCTGTGGAGGAGGGAGAGAATGCAGAGAAGGAGAGGAAAAAAGCAACTGCGGCAAATCCTGACAGCGCTGAACCGTGTTGTGACATGCAGTCAAACTCTTCTGTCCCGGACCACACATGGAAGAAGGCTTGATAGCCTATAAGCCCCTCCAGCACCTCAGTAATAGCTGCAATTATAAACATATCGTTTCATAATAGAGACTGTGATGCTGCAGCAAGACTCACAGTAAATGGGTTAGTTACCTTCTGAAAGGCAAGTAACCTTGTGTGGTTTCACTAGTGCCCTCTATTGGAATACACAGTTAATGGCCCTAAAAAAACCCGTCTGTTGTGCAATTTCAGTATGAAGTACCATATAAAATTCTGGCCAAAAACATAACACTCTTTCTTGATGACATCATTTTATTTACAGTTTTTTTTGTGTGTGCAGATTATTCCTGCTGTGTAGTACCTTTTTTGTCATTTAAAAAAGTTTTGGTTATACTTAGGCACTATTATTTACACAGTGGCAAGAATATTAACAAGATGGAGAGCTGATGTGAAGATCTTAGAGTTAACTTACATGCATAATTATGGTTAAATTGTTGTTGTTATTGTCTTTTACTATATTTTGATTTATTATGCCAATTCCAACATGATTGAATGTGTTAAATTGAGACAAATCAATTAATACCACACAAAAAAATCCATTTGTTATATTTTTGCTTTTGTTTTCTTGTTAAAAAATAGTCATGTCATGGAGAATGATGTCATTAATTAAGGAACTGGCTTTTGTTAGGTAACCAAAAAAAACAAGGTAACACTTTACAATAAGGTTCATTCGTTAACATTAGTTAATGTATTAACTAACATGAACTAACCATGAGCAATACATTTGTTACTGTATTTGTTAATCTTTGTTAACGTTGTTTGTTGATGTTAGTTCACAGTGCACTAATGTCAACCAGATTTTAATAAAGTAATAGTAAATGTTGAAATGAACATTAACAACGATTAATAAATGCTTTATAAGTAATTTTTACTATATGAACTATTACTAAAAGATAGCATAGTAGGAATGACTCACCCCAGCATTAATCACAAGGCACTTTTGACAAAAAGAAAATTGTCTAAAATATTTTTTTTAATCAACCACAACGGTATAGGGCTTTTAACCTTGAACACTCAAATAATAAGAGCAAGTTATTAATCTCTGAACAAGCACTCAGCAGTTTCTGCATCAGCCACCAGTAATGCCAGCGATATGATAAGTGATATTTAAATAGGTCTGCCGTCAACTTTTCGCAGCTCTAAATGGAGATGATTTTGAGAGCAGAATTTCGCACTGAACATTGAAGTGTGTGGGTGTCTGTTTTCATTTACAGATTTTATCTGTGGTTTTTGTGTTGTGGGTGAAGGCCAGATGACTAATCACTGCCCTTGTTATTTGATTGTGTTTCTAGGTTGAAGGCAGCATCTAAATCTTTAGCATTGAATCATTACGCATTGTAACATGCCCTTGATCGCTTAGCCTCAGTGAATGTCTTTAGCCATTCAGTTGCATTAGCATTAGTCAAATAAAGTGAATTTCATTAGATTCACTCAATGAGGGCCAGGGTTACAAAAACAGATTACAAAGGTCATTCATAAAGTGCATCTGGCTAAAAATAAAAAAAAGCCAAAATGGCTTTCAGATTGGATTCAGAGTAAATAATTGGTTGAAACAAATTGGTTAGGTCAAAAAAATGAATATGCAATGAGTCATTATGCACTTATTCTTAAGTGATGACTGAACATGTTAAGTGCTGCTGAGGGCGATGCATTCCACATTATTCCTCTCTCCACGCTGAACCTCTGCTAAGCTATTATCTACTTGTTTATTTATTTGTTTGTTTGCTTGTTTAATGACTTATTTAAAAAAGAGGGTTCTTGATATCAGTCACAATTTTAGCCAAACAATTCAAGACTTACGAATCGAGTTCAGTTCGTTTCACTTAAGTTTCATTTAAAATAATAAACTGCATTCACCTTAAAACCATTATGTAATCTCCAACAAACTTTATAAATAGGCTAATTATGACTCAGTATGCTGGCAGTATGTTTAAAAAAATATGTTGCTCTCCTCATCTTTACTTTACCTTGTGTTTTTCCTTCTATATTTCTCAAATGAGAATTACTGGTGAAACCAACTGTAAAAGAAAGGCTTAACTAACATGTTTGTGTATAAAGGTGCCTGAGAGAATTTTGAATGTCGACCGGCAGGTTTTGAAAGTCTTTTGTATTTACACTTGACTCTTCATGAGGCGTTTACTGACACATATCAGCTTCACAACCTTCATAATAATGATAATAATGTCTGTCTGCTTAAAACTCTTAAATCTCAATAGCAGCAACATGTGATATGTTCTTGTAGATGTAAACCATTAAATCAATAGAGCTTCTTCTGTGATAACTCAGCCATAGCTTATACAGTAATGCCATCTCATGCAGCAGTTGGACCGTTTGTTAACATGAATGTAAGGGAGTCCATACTGAACAAAGTGATATTATGCCTTTTATTACAATCGAAGAACATGGGCTCACATGGTCCAAACTCTCAGTTTGTAATATGATGTTAAATTAAGTGGACAATGTATAAAGGAGAAATGTATAATCATGATTATCAGTGTGCAATGAACGGTATGTGGAAGAGGGGGATTTTATCACCCAAAGAACAGGAACAAATCAAAATTTGTTGGTTGTGTGAGGCAACGTTAGAAAACGGCTTCTGAACTGTCCAGATGGTTTAGGAATGGGGTTTTTTGTGCAATTAGACTACTATTTATTAAAAAAATGAAATTGTTCTCGGTCTAGATATCTGAAATCTAGAACAATGAAACTTGTAAAGATGGTCTCAAACAAAAAAATGAAAAACCGTGTACAGATACTGAAGTGGACAAGCTGAAAATAAAATTATTTTAATGCAAACGTTGCTCGTTCATTCTTGTTTGCATGAAGTATTTTTTTTCTTACTTATTATTAATAAATCATTGTATAAGGGGAAGAATATTTTTCAGTAAATTTGTAGTTTGTAATTTTTAAGCCAAGACAGCAGTGCCTGTGCTGATATGTTACTGCTGTATAATGTATAACTGTATAATTATTTTACATGCATTATAATTCAAACACACATTAAGAAACCAACATTTTGAACGATTTATTGGTTTCGGTCACCAATAATTCTCTTATGTGCTCCAAGACGGCCTTTATTTGATCAAAAATACAGTAAAAACAGTATAATTGTGAAATTACACTTTTAAATTGTAATTTAATCATTGATGATAAATCATAACTCCTGTCTTCAGTTTTACACGATGCTTTAGAATGCTGATTTGCTGCTCAAGAAACATTTCATGATAAGCATTATCAATGTTGAAAATTGTTGCGCTAATTACTATTTTTGGGGAAATCCTGATGTTTATGGCAACAACAAAAAAAAACTTTAAAAAGATGTTTTGTTCAGTATTAGTCACCATGCAGTAGCCTATGTGTATATAGTTTCACATAATCCTGAATCCAAAAATTAGACCTTCACCTAAACTCTAATCATTTCTCATGATTCATCCACTGCTGGGAAAAACAGCATTTCCTTTATTGTCCTACAGAATCTGTTTCCAGCTCATTATATTTGTTGATTGTCTGAGTCACAGTTTTGCCATTAGTAGTCAGCTCTTTGGCCATAGTTTGGGCACAGGGCTGAATATGTCTCTCATTGATTGGTACTGTGAGCTCAGCAGTCATTACAGTGATGCTGTTTCCACAGCGACCGGACTGTCTCTGGCACTTTGCTGAGCTTTGTTATTGGCTGCACTGCTTCTGTTTGCTGCTTATGCTGCCAACACTAATAATAACCCATATCTACCTGAAGAGCTTTTAGCATAATGATTATTTAGATTTATTGCATTTCAAATGGAGATTTTTGAGGTATCTCACCTCATGTCACAGCTCAGAAGGATTTGGAAACTTGCATTATTCACATCCATAAAAGAATCAAGCATTGCACAAGTTGTCAGTGACCTGTGATCAGATGTGCAGATAATGTTTGATGGAAAGCTCCAGTGCATCCCTTCTAAGATGATGGTCTATTCTAAAACATACACCCATTTTCCTGTGCCTCTCCTCCCTTTCTTACAGTTAAAATCCCAGGCCTGTGTGAGGGGGGTTGGAAGTAGCTACACTGTGCTCAACCACCGCAGTGCTGTCCCGTTAACGTTACCGAGAGGGGCGGGAGTGTGTGTGTGAGAGAGAGAGAGAGAGAGAGAGAGAGAGAGAGAGAGAGAGAGAGAGAGAGAGAGAGAGAGAGAGAGAGAGAGAGAGAGAGAGAGAGAGAGAGAGAGAGAGAGAGAGAGAGAGAGAGAGCACAGAAAGTGATCGTGATCTTTCTCTCTTCTCTCTCTCATCCCCTCCCCTTCTCTCTCACTCAGGCATACATACACTTTCATGCGGACACGAGAGGACTATTATTTTTTTTCGTCCTGGTCGTTTTAATCTGTTCTAGAGAAGCGTTTATCATGCTTATGTCTCTTGGTTTACTGCTATTTCTAACAGCCTAACAAAAGTTAAATCCTGTCATATTAATCAAGTCATCACTTGACTGCGTATGATTTTTCTATAGCCTACGTGCTCTCTGGAGGATATATAGTCGCACCCAGTGTGAAAAACTGAAGGAAGCTCTTCATACAGAAGATTGGATTTGTGTTTCGAGGCTTTGGTCGCCTGAGGCTCTTTCGGTAATGCAGCACTTTTTGTGATGACGCGGTCTAGACATCGCTTCATGAGTCCATCCTCATGGGAATATTATATACAGCACTGATGTAGTTTATAGCGAGGGGTAGCCTACATATGTTTTTTTCTTCCTTATGTATGTTTTTTATCGTCAATATAGGAAGTTTGGCTTTTGACTACTAATCCTCTCTCTGTCTCTCTCTCTCTCTCCGCATCTCGGTGACGACGATCTGTTTTATTAAGCACCTGCCAACAAAATGTGAGTGCACTGTATTTCCACTGTATTTAAACAAATAAACTTAAACCAAAAACTCAGTATTTTTGTTTTTAAATCACGTTTTATGCCTGCGATGCTATAGGCTAATACAGTTGGGGTATTAAAACGTGTTTTGTGTGTGTGTGTGTGTGTGTGTGTGTGTGTGTGTTCTCTTTATTACATTTAGCAAAAGTAATTCAGCGTCTAAGGTTATTTTCAAGACAGTTCGTTAAAACACCGCAAAATCTCTCAGATTTTAGAGCTGATACATCATAATTTGCCTAGACTTTAGTGCTCTGCTCCATCTATCGGAATTTAGGGGAAACTGCATCGAGAATGCTATTAAATCGTACAGCAGCAGGCCTATACATAAAACTTATCTGCATTCAACTGTGCGATTTTGGCTATTCGATGATGCTATAGATGTTCGTCTGGCGCAACCCAAATCGACTTTTAGCCCCGTATACGACAGTTAGGCCTATCTCATTCACATAGGCCTACATCTTCAAATTCAGTGCGTTTTAAACAAAACACTAAAGTTAATTATTGTGGTTTGTGTATTTATCGATATACATCCAATGCTAATCCTACAAAAGTGCTCGAGCAACTTCTGTTTCTGTGTTTACCTCCAGATGTGAACACGACTTCTGTAGCCTATACGTGTGTTTATTTAGCATATTCTGACTAGCTTCGCTTTAATGAAACGTTCGACGTTTTTTTTTCTCAATTAAAAATGTTCTTTTTTTCGTTTGGGAGCCTCAATTAGACCCAGAACCCCTCACACCTTTTAATTTGCTCACTTGCACTTATAAAGCTTTTTTAATGCTAAATGTGATACAAGTGTAGGCCCTAGCTACCTATTTAATAAAACTTAAATAAACCTAAATAAAACTTGTAGGCCTATATAATTCATTAAAAAAGCTTTTTTTATTGCACATTTCATTGACAATGTCTTTTCCAATGTCAATGTCACATCTATCAGGCTTAAATCAATGAGCTTTATCGCATCATGGCCTACTGAATTGAGGCCCAATTCAAATTAATGACATGAAAAACTGACAGGATGTAGCCTGCCTAATATTTGTTTAAAATGACTGAACATTTTACAAGTCTCTGAATGAGCCTTTTGCAGAGCCAGTGGTGCAGAGAACGGCCAAAAATAGGTCCTCTCAACCCCTGTCTCCTCTTCCATCAGGTCTGCCCCGGATGCTGCTGCAAACGCTGGAGCCCCAGAGGGTGAGGGGGGCGCACCTGCCGGACCTCCCAATCTCTCCAGCAACCGTCGTCTCCAACAGACACAGGCCCAAGTGGATGAGGTAAACCCTATCAATGTGACCTCAAATAAGATTCTGAACAAGTAGGATGAGGTGAATTTTCAAAAAAGAGTAACATGTAGAAGAAGAAAAAAACTGAAATTGTTAGAATAAATAAAACTGAGACAAAGATAGAGATATTCTGCACAGTGGGCATAAATGTTGGACCTTCAGTAAAGGCCTATGGTTCAAGGAAACATAGTTTTTGGACATGGACGTGACATTATGTATTAGTAAAACTGTCGATTGTAGCAGTGAGGGAGTCAGAGAGTCAAAGCTATCAAAGCTAGATGGACTATTAGTAGGACTTTCTTGGAACCATAAACATTTCATGAAGTCAAATTTTTAGGTACTAGCCAGGCTCTCATACAATATTCATCCTATACTGCTTTCAATGTTTAGTGTCTATGAAGACATTAAGACATTTCCATTTTAAGTGACTTTCAGTTTCACATTGCATCTCTGATGCCATGCAATGATGTCATACTGCTGATGTCTGTGTCTGTCTTCTGTAAATGTGTTCAGGTGGTTGACATCATGCGTGTGAATGTGGACAAGGTTCTGGAAAGAGATCAGAAGCTCTCAGAATTGGACGACCGGGCGGATGCGCTGCAGGCCGGAGCATCACAGTTTGAGAGCAGCGCCGCTAAACTGAAAAACAAGTACTGGTGGAAGAATGCTAAGGTGCGCTCTGGGAAATTTAGCTGCTTGGGTCTGTTTATTTACATCTGGAGTCCTTGACCTCAAGTCCCATTTTATTTAAATCATTTTAAGATACCTATATACATTCACTGTTAGAATTAAATCACTGAATACAGATTTGACCTCATTCATGAAACATAAGCAAAATGTATTTGTAAACTGTTATGTAAGCTGTCACGTTCACTTCAATGCGGCAAACATAAGAGGTTTACGAAGGATCAGGGTTATTGTAGTTAACTTAAACTAAAACTAAAACCATAAAAAATGTGTTGCTTGAAAAAAAAATTGTTTTTTTTCAGCAGATTGTCTAGTCAACAGTTCTCATTTCCATTTAGTTTAACTTGATGTACTAATATAACTACAACTAAAACAAAAACTACTTAGACATTTTTTTTTAATTATAAAAATGACAAAAACACACAACACAATTACTAAAACGTGAACTAAATTTTAAATGAAAGCAAAAAACTACAACTAAAAAATCTAAATATTAATAAACACTATAATAGTACATCATCAATAATACTAAAATAGTATTTACACAGAAATTCATTGAAGGAGGCCTATTGGCTATACATTTTTAGTTCACTTGTAATACTAAATAAGATAAATAAAATCTAAATGATTATATTAGACTAACCTATGGATTAACCTATGGAGTTATAGTTTAGCATCAATAATGTATTGATTTAAACTAATAAAATAAACAGTGCCTCCTTTGCTTTGGTGTTTCTATATTGCCAGCAGTAAAGATGGCTCAGCTGACTCAACACTAAAGCAGGAGCGTTCTCATTTCGATATAGCCTGAATGCAGCCCGGCCCATAAGTCACAGCGCTGGCCAGCGTTCGAGATATATTAGGCGAGGTGCAGTTGTGACGCAAGCTTAGATACTGCAGTAGCACAACGACTCCAGCCACTCCTGAGACGAATCATCTTTAATAATATACCCGTATTAATAAACCCCCATTAATCATCTATTAATAGAAAGAGCTTTTTTGGAGCATGACTTGGATCTAAATATTTCAATATTTTCTGATTATAAATAGAGAATTCATATTATAATTTCATTTCCTAACTTCCTTTGCCTTGTTTTAAATAGAGATGTCACACTTCTGATATGTGACACCTTGTACAAGCCTGCATTGGTCCTCTGACAGCTTCACTTTACATATTACTTTTTTATCTCTCCATCCAGCTATCTGTCAATCCATTCCCTCGGCATAGATTTATAAGCTCCCCCTCATTCTCCACCCCTCCAGATAGAATAAATTTATAGCTCCCTTCCACCAACCCCCCCACCTCCCGCCCCAGATGGCTGAACAGCTGCCCGTCCAATCGCATCTCTGAGCGGGGTGGGGGAGGGGGGCTTCTAGTCCCAATCTGGATTACAGCATTTCTGGATTAAAACCCAGATGTGATTTGTGATGTAACCTGCTCTAATAATTCCCTTTCGCTCCTCCTCTCTCGTTCCCTTTCCCATATCCCTGTCTTATTCCGTATCCGCAGATCCTCCTCTTTTTATGGAAACGTCTAGGGGTGGGCGATATCTCGATATTTAAAATATATCGAGATATTTTTTAAACACGATATGGATTTTGACATATCGTAAATATCGATATATTGTTTATATTTAATCCTGATTTCGCCACTTTGCTTGTTTGCCTTCTCTGTGCTGTGCTCGCCCCCGCCTCCTTGCTTTTGTTCCCCCTCACCTCGCGTGTTGTCTCATTCAACAATTGTCTCATCCGCAACCAGCCCGGAGGCTACAGAACTCGAGTGTGTCTGTGCGCGAGCGACAGAGCACGAGAGAAACCGAGTGTGAGCATTAATTGCATTAGTAAATTGGTAGCCTACATACTACAATATATAATTACTAAATAAGAGGCATGGAAATTCGATTAATGGACTCCAGTAATCAGTAATACTACAAACGTCTTGTTTTAAACTACTGCAGGGCTCGAATTTCGGCGCGGTTATTGCGCATAATTCTAATCATTCCCGCAGGTCTCCCATTTATAATGCGGGAAATTCCCGCAATCGTAATCCACACAGATTATAAAATCAAATCATTCTTTTAACAACTATCTGCCAGACGCAATTTCACAAACAGCGTGTGTTCAGCGGTGCCGCGTCTTCTTTCTCGTCTCTCATAATGTGTTGTGCAAGGCAAGCATCAAGAGCTGCGGCGATAAAACACACTCGCGTTTAGGAGTCGGGACATGATGGATATTCACTCGCACAATCGGGCCAGCAGTGCATCGTGACTGAAGTTTACCATTTGCACGTCTTTTTAAGTCTTACCAGTTTAAACATTCAAGCGATTTTAAACTAATCAGTGCTCGCGCGCTCTCTGAGAGATTATTTTCTATGCGCACATTCATAGAAAATCCGCCTTAAGAACAGCTGGCCAGTAACAAAAGTTATTTTTCGCGGATTATATTGCTTTAACACGCAAAATTGTCAATTTCGGTCGTCGTGAGTATACTCTAAACATAGTCGGTTTTGTCTTTAATAAGCATAAAACGCATGCCAGTATAATGAACACAGGATCCGTGCACTACCTCTTAAAGTGACGGCAGCCATTTGTGTCATTCATTTTGTTGTCAATACAACAAAAGATAGCTTTAAGTTAAAGGAATCAGGATTAATAACCTATGTATTTAATTTATTCAGGACTAAAATACTACTCAGTGTTATTTTCCATTTGATTACTTTATTCAGTTTCTGTATATGAATCACGTGATTAATAATGACAAAATTCAGGCCCTGTGTTTAATTTTTCTCATTTGGTTACATTCTGTTATGGAAAATTAATTTTCTATTGATTGTAGGCCTATATTTTGAGTTGTATTCACATCCATTTTCCTGTAAAGATATCGAGATATATATCGAATATCGAGATATAGCAAAATATATCGAGATATATTTTTTGCTCCATATCGCCCAGCCCTAGAAACGTCCCACTATTAATCTCACTCATTCTCTCCCGCCTTTCCAAACCAGATTGCTTTATTATTCTCTCTCCTTTGTGCATTTCTTTACTCTTAGTGAAGCCTTTCTTTTTGTAACTTTTCTCTGTGTTTTTAGTGGAGCATCTCCTTGTGAAGGAGAAATGTTGATTCTTAAAGCAGATCTGCATTCATATGGGTCTTTATGTTGTATTTATATATTTATTAAATAGCATTTTAAATTGTCCTGCGGTGTGACAAATGAAAGGTGTAAAGTATTAATATTCCATGTTCTCAGTTAATATGAGGTCAGAAAAGCTGCATGCAAAACAATAAAAAAAAAAAAAGCAAAATGCTGTTTAAAACAGTTTTATGCGGAGTATAGCATGTCATACTTTTCCCAAAAGTATTTTTCTCTGTAAGAAATAGAAAAATGTAACTAGGAAAAGGGAAAATAGAAAGATGTTTTAAAATGTTTTAGTACCGTACACTTTTTTTCAAAGTAAAATAAAACCAATTAAGGAATCGATCAAAAATGTGCCTATAATTCATAAACGGAAACGTTCCTCTTCTCTGTCACTTTATTTATGAGTAGATGTACAAGTTATTAGATTATAAATCTTTTATTTATCCAGCAGTTTACATCACTGATATAGGGACATGTTGTTTTTTTTAATCTAAAGTACTCAAATTAATATTCTAAATGAGTGTCTTAAAAACAAATGAAATATTTTAAAGAAACTAAATGTATATTACAATTTTAATATTATTTCCTTGATTTGATATTAATATTATTAATATTATTTCTTTATTTTAGTGCTGTCAAATCGATTAATTGCAATTAATCACATCTAACATAAAAGTTTGTAAATATACAATATATATATGTGTGTGTGTGTGTGTGTGTGTGTATGTTTTCAAACCTTTATGTTAGATGCGATTAATCGACTTGACAGCACTAGTTTATTTATTTTGTATTTATTTAAAATGTATCTAAAGGTATCTATGTTGTAGCCGAACAGTTAATTGTTTGATTAAAAACATTATATCTTAAATAAAGTATCATCTTCATTTTATAATTCTAATGGGTAACAATTTATTTTACAGTGTCCTTGTTACACGTTACATGTACTTATTATAGGAATAACAGTAAATTATGCATAATTACATGCAACCAACCGTAACCAATCCCTGATCCTGACCCTACCCCTACAGTAAGTACACGTAGTTATATTAATGTATAACTACACTGTAACAAGCACACCTTAAAATAAAGTGAAAACTTCTAATGTCTTTATCCCTCTACAAAAAGATATACAAAACTGTATTGTATTTAAATTTCATATTTAGAATTTAAATGTATTTCCCTATTCTTTTCTTTTTATTTCACAGATGATGATCATGATGGGAATTATTGGGGTCATCTTGGTGGGCATCCTTTTCAGTGAGTAGAAACTGTAATGTAATTCCACAAACACCAATGTTGGCTGATTTACAAACACTTTATTTTCTTTTATTCCCAGCATAAGATGTTTTGCCATCTTCCATTTTGATCTGGGATTAAGAATTATTTATGGGCGTATTAAGTCATACATGTGATAATATTAGTAAGAAGGACAAATCTCGTGTTGCAGCTGCTTCAAGCAAATACTAAAATACTGATCTTATTAAGATCACTTATAAAATGTAGCCTCCAAACCATCCTACTTTTGATCTAAGATCATCTCTCAAATGCGTACGTGTGATTCAGAGAAGCGAACGCACGCACGCACAAAAAAAAACTCTTCCAGATGTGAAATCTATAAATCGCAAATGATCTTGAAATTGTGCACAGCTGAATGGTTTCAGGTCTCCGCTTTGTAAACGGCCCCTTATTAATGTCATTTGCATATAAATGAGCAACGTCCAAATGCTTTACCTCAGAAGCGGCAAGAATATCTTAGATTTCCAAATACCACAAGGAAAAGGGTATACGCCTGCTTAGAACCTGACGTGGCGCTAAGCACTTTTCCACGTCAAACCGTTTTAGCATACGCACACTCTAAGATCAAATCTGTGTGTACGCACGTTTTATAAATGAGGCCCTAGGTCTAGATTTATGCATCAAATTTAAAAGGCTAATTTCTTTCTGAATCAGACTGGACTAACAAATTTCAATTATTTTTTTCTCTTTTCTTGTCTTTTTTCCAGTGTACTTCTATTACTGAGCCTCTCGTGGGACACACAAGGACAGGAGACTATGGCTTTGTGTGAACTCCACCACCCCCCACCCCCCCTTTCTCCCCACCAATGCCTTTCATTGAATCCACCGTGTGTAAGAGTGTGTGTGTGTGTGCAGTCATTGACGCAGTGCCTCTCCCTCCCTTTGTCTGTCACTGCATTTCTTTGTACCTCTCTTGAGTGCTTTGCAACAGTGCCCGAGCTTACTCAAAAACTCCGTCAGTTAGGACGATCTACATACGGTTTTTGGATTGGAGAATGTGTTGGTTCTTTTCAAGGTAAAAACAATGGGTGATGCAATAATATAGGTTTCTAGCGTTGTCCAAATGAACCCATGAATAACTAAAGAGGGAGAACGAAACACAAAGATCAATTTGAGTTTAGGAACAAGTCATGCATTTATGCACACAAAAAAAACAAAAGTGTACTAGTTTACCCAGAAACAACTGTTGTGGTCCTATCATTACGGTATTAACAAAGTGCAACTGCAATGAGAAGTTACAGGAACTTGTTTTAGCCCTCCTCCATATAGATTCCTAACAGCAATTTGTTTTCATTTCCTAACACCTGATTTCCTTTAAAAATCTGAATGACTTTAAATAGAGCAGTTACCATTTGTATTAAACGTCTTAAAGATAGGATATTTCCTTCCATATCATAATGTTAAACATTTCTTGGATGGTGCAATTTTATAATTAATTTTCTCATTTAAAAAGCGAGGCAAGTTGTAGGAGTGTGCAGTCGACTTGAGGGGAATATCTGATCATAAATCGACACTTTTGCTCTTTGATGCACTGTTCATGTCAGCCAGATCAGTGGAGTCTGGAGGAACAAACAGGAATGGGGGGAAAAAAACATAATATCAATCAATCTCAATATACATGGAGATTTAAGATGTTAGCTGTGACCACAATATAAAAGAATGTGACTGAAATTTGGTTTGAGATTTTTACTATGTTCTATTTTTTATTTATTCATATTTCTATATTTGAGATTTTTGTGACAGTGTGGTCCATGTCTTAACAAAATGTGACCGATAAAAGAAAAAAAAATGGGTAAAATGAGTGTTAAACTTCTCCTGACTTTACTGGCGCCATGATGTTTTAGGTTGAATGAACAACTACTGATATGCAAACTTGGAAGATAACTGATAATGAGACTAATTTAATGTCTTTGTAAATATTTGGGATTCAGTGTGGGAAGCGGATACGTAATCAGCACTGGAGACGACAATGTTCAGGGATGTACCTCTGCATGTGTTTGTGTTAAATATACATGGGCACTTTAACCACCTTCGTTATAATGATTGTAAGTTTGAGAGGACTTTTCTTTTGGGGTATTAAGGACATATTGTCCAGCACCTAAATCTAAGAATCTTATTGATGTGTACCATCTGTGTGAATAACATCCCCTACATTAAGCATTAACCCAAATTGCAAACCTAATACAGGGCAGTGAATGTCATTCTCTTAAAAAAACCGAAAAACTCCTGAATACATTGTGTTTTATGCAAACTATTCATTTGTAAATATGTGCTGCAGAGCTGCATAAAATAACACCCTGTCCCTGATCATTTTGAGCTAAGCTGCTAACTCGTGGTTCATTTTAAAGCATGCCTGCTTGCCCACCATGTGCTGATTCTAATAAAGTGCTGATGCTGTTACTTGCTCCTCCCCGTCTGTAGTGTTTATTTGGGAAACTGAAGGAAAGTTACTTCCGAGTTGAGCGTCGGCTCAGCTCACATTGCAAACCATAAATGAATGTCACAACAAGGCTTGGTGAATATGGTATGATTTAATTGATTATTAATCAGCAACAATGCTCATCCAAATCATTACGGTATTAACAAAGTGCAACTGCAATGAGAAGTTACAGGAACTTGTTTTAGCCCTCCTCCATTTAGATTCCTAACAGCAATTTGTTTTCATTTCCTAACACCTGATTTCCTTTAAAAACCTGAATGACTTTAAATAGAGCAGTTACCATTTGTATTAAACGTCTTAAAGATAGGATATTTCCTTCCATATCATAATGTTAAACATTTCTTGGATGGTGCAATTTTATGATTAATTTTCTCATTTAAAAAGCGAGGCAAGTTGTAGGAGTGTGCAGTCGACTTGAGGGGAATATCTGATCATAAATCGACACTTTTGCTCTTTGATGCACTGTTCATGTCAGCCAGATCAGTGGAGTCTGGAGGAACAAACAGGAATGGGGGGAAAAAAACATAATATCAATCAATCTCAATATACATGGAGATTTAAGATTTTAGCTGTGACCACAATATAAAAGAATGTGACTGAAATTTGGTTTGAGATTTTTACTATGTTCTATTTTTTATTTATTCATATTTCTATATTTGAGATTTTTGTGACAGTGTGGTCCACGTCTTAACAAAATGTGACCGATAAAAGAAAAAAAAATAGGTAAAATGAGTGTTAAACTTCTCCTGACTTTACTGGCGCCATGATGTTTTAGGTTGAATGAACAACTACTGATATGCAAACTTGGAAGATAACTGATAATGAGACTAATTTAATGTCTTTGTAAATATTTGGGATTCAGTGTGGGAAGCGGATACGTAATCAGCACTGGAGACGACAATGTTCAGGGATGTACCTCTGCATGTGTTTGTGTTAAATATACATGGGCACTTTAACCACCTTCGTTATAATGATTGTAAGTTTGAGAGGACTTTTCTTTTGGGGTATTAAGGACATATTGTCCAGCACCTAAATCTAAGAATCTTATTGATGTGTACCATCTGTGTGAATAACATCCCCTACATTAAGCATTAACCCAAATTGCAAACCTAATACAGGGCAGTGAATGTCATTCTCTTAAAAAAACCGAAAAACTCCTGAATACATTGTGTTTTATGCAAACTATTCATTTGTAAATATGTGCTGCAGAGCTGCATAAAATAACACCCTGTCCCTGATCATTTTGAGCTAAGCTGCTAACTCGTGGTTCATTTTAAAGCATGCCTGCTTGCCCACCATGTGCTGATTCTAATAAAGTGCTGATGCTGTTACTTGCTCCTCCCCGTCTGTAGTGTTTATTTGGGAAACTGAAGGAAAGTTACTTCCGAGTTGAGCGTCGGCTCAGCTCACATTGCAAACCATAAATGAATGTCACAACAAGGCTTGGTGAATATGGTATGATTTAATTGATTATTAATCAGCAACAATGCTCATCCAAATCACAAAGTGAAATGAATCATACAAAGCGGCGATACAGAAATGTTTCGTACTACAGCACAGATGGGTAACCTAATTAGAAAGCGTGTACATGAAACGCACATAATGTCTATTGAACCATCATGTCGGAACCGTAACAGGTTTTATTAACATGAAAACACTTCTAGATGCATGATTTCAGCTAAAACAATCTGTTTTCAGCATCTACTGGTACATACAGATTAAAACTAAATAATACATGAAAATGAATCAAGATCTACAGTTTATAACAAGTCTATAAGGTTTTACACAAACTAAGCAAATCAAGAGGAAAAAAAAAACTGGTTAAATGAGAAAAAGTCGTAAGAGATGTATATAAAAAGCCATACATATGAAAATTTAAAATCAGGACCCATGAAGACTTGTCAAAGCAGAATATGAATGTATTCACATTTTGAAAAACAAAGGCATGTCTTAAAAAAGAAGCAATCACGATATTTGAGCAAAAATGAGGGGTGCAGTAAACTAAGCACTCGACACCTATAAATGACCAAACTATCAGGCAACTCGGATGATAAAAAGTAGAAAATGAAGACTGTTTCACTATAAAACACTGAACTCGGCGGGGTTGGTTTTACAGAGTTGGAAGTATGAACGATGATAAAAGAAATGAAACTACAGCAAAGACGCACTTAACCGTCAACCCCGAAAAAAAGCCGCAGATTTTTCCACAGCCACTACTACATCAAATTAAAACCATCTGGGCGATTTGAATTAAAAAGATTAGCCTTGAGTTTAAGAGCCTGTGCACACGGACTACTGTACAGGTATGAAGACACTGCATCTGAAACAGTCTGGTTTGGTAAACGCTTTGAAATTGTTGGCACAAACCATTGGTAACAAATAAGGTTGATGGTAACGTTTTCAATGGAACCGTTAATTGCGCATCATCTTTTAGGATCCCGTGATGTTAACAGGCTACATACTTGTCCTTCGATTTTGCATGCTTAAAAATTTTGCAATTTTTTTCCCATGCAAAAAAATTAAAATAATAATAATAATAAAATCAACTGTGCTCACTCTCATTGTGAGCAAACATTTCGGTTAATAATGAGCTTTAAAAAAAGAAGAGAAAGAAAGAGAAAAACAATACAGTCTGGCATGGCAGGCAACACCAAAAGCACACTTATCAGATAAAAAAAAAAAAATTATTGACATAGCCTATTAAAACCCTTCGAAAAATATACCCACCAATTTTCAATGAAGCCCCCCTATCTCTTTATTTCTTTTTTTTGAATTTGCCCACCATCTCGTTCTCACTAGTGTTGTTCACTTTTGAACAATCGATGGCGTCATCTTCGTCTTCTGGGTCTGCGTCGTTCTCGCTCGCCCTGGTCTCTTCTTCATCGTTCTGATTTTGCGACGAGTCGTCAGAGGTGCGGGACTGTTTGGGAGAGGGCGCGTCGGTCTCCTCTTCCTCTCCCTCCGGTAATGCCGAGGGGAGTTTTTCGAGCACGAGAGCCAGTCTGACTTTGCTTGGACGACCTCTCTTACGGCGTGGAGCGGCGCCGTCGGCGTTCGCCCCTTCTACATCTCCACCTTCTGCACCTTCTGAGGTGCGAGCCTTGATTTTGCCTGAACCAGGTGGCCGGCCTCTCTTGCGGGGAACGTCTCCGACTTTCTTTTCGACGATCTTGACTTTCTTTCCAGAACCTGGAGGCCGGCCCCTCTTTCGAGGAGTGCCGTCTGCGTTCCGTCGAATGATCTTCGGTTTGGTGCCAGAGCCTGGGGGTCGGCCTCTCTTTCGAGGGGTTCCGTCAGCCCGCTGAATCTTCTTCACCTTGTTGGCCGAGCCTGGAGGGCGGCCTCTCCTTTTGGGGGTCCCATCTGAGGACTTGGCAATTGAAGTCTTGGTAGGACCTGCGGGCCGACCCCTCTTCCTCTTCATTGAGCCCATCGGCCTCCCTCTCTTTTTAGTTGGAGATCCATTAGCGTCAAGGCTGATTCCGTCACTACTTTGCTCAGCCAGATCGCCAGATTTGCGAGGTCTTCCTCTTCCCCTTTTTTCTTTGGGGCCTTCTGCGATGGGATGAATGCGGGGTCTTCCGAGGGGCTTTGACAGTTTCCGCTTGCGTTGTAAACTCAACCTGTTAAGTCTCTCTGATTCTTCCTCAGGCGTGAGAGGGATCTTTCTCGGCCTACCGGGCATTTTTATCTTCTTTGGTCGACCACGTTTCTTCACCTTGTTCTTTATGACTATGTCAGGGGAAAAGAAGTCCACCTTTTTCGATGGCCTGGGATTGTGTGTCGGCGCTTTCTCGGCAGTGAACTTCTTATTGAGCGACCCTCGTGGTCTGCCTCTTCCACGTTTGGGTGGATGGGTGCTGCCGTTGGGCAGAGGGCTCTCAGATCCTTCTTTATTCTCAACCTCCATCACGGCGTTGCTTCTCGCTCCCAACTTCAGGCGTATCAGTGCCACCCTTGTCTATTAGGTGCTGAGATTCTGAAAACTACAAGAGGAGAGAGGGGGAAAAAAAAGGTTTTACATGAAGATGCGACATATTTGAATTAAGTGCTTGAATACTTTTAGTAACCTCACATTGTTTTCCCCTCCAAATCCAGAATTGACCATTTCCATTAAAAAATATATTTTTGTGCAAATGTATGACAACACAAATTAAAGATGTTTTTACGTACCCTGTATTTTCACAGGGGAAAAATCTAAAGTTTCATACACAACCTCAATGAACCTACTTTATTTTTGTTTTCTCAAACTTTATTTTAGAAGATAAATAATTTACTGCAGAGCTAGCCAGATGAAAATGAAATGAATGAAAGAAAAAAAGCACATTTGAAAACATTTAAACATTATTAGACTTTACAGGCCAGGTAAACACACAAAACTGTATTTATTTACAATATATTATTTTAAATAACATTATTTGGACATGGCTGCAGTGTTTGGGGAATCATTGTACAACTTCACTGAAATCATTCATTTAGTTTATTCATAACAAATATAACCATGTTAACACTATCAGGGCATTTATATTATAGAAAAAAAAAGCAATTTAAAGTATTCGTAGTAATACACGGAAGTAAATTAAGTATATCAACCAAATTAAATGGAGTACTTTAGCTGAGAATCAAAGAGCAAAATGTCTACATTTATATTAAATATACACAGGTGTTTAAATATAGAAATGCACTCACTGAAAAATATTTTATAAGAATGGAAGGGGTATGATGTGCATTGGTGATTTTTTTTAAAATAATTTTGGGAGCAGTTTATTTAAAACTGACCGTATCGTTTGTAGCGCTGTTTGAAGACACAAGACAATAGAAAAAAACCCATCACAGTATTTACACCAGAACACGCTACAGAAGTTCAAGAGCGTTGCTAGCGTACTTCATGCATGCTTAATGGATGCAAATGGACATCTTTATTACAGCAGGAAAAAAATGAATCGTTTTATAACGCGAGATCTTACATATTAAAAAAAAAATATTGACGATAACATTCTACTTGCTTTTAAAAATATATGGAGAAATAACGCAAAATGTGTGCGAATAATTTCAAAATACACACGATTTCATGCAGTATGACACGCATAAAAGAGCGGATGCTGTAGACTGGCTGCCATCATGTACAGTGAAGCCCGCGAGCTTTTGTAGTTCCAGGTAAAATGTGAGGCACTGGCGATTTTTGTTAGCTGCCTGCTAACCCGACTAAGACAACTTTTCAATGGAAAAAGAGACGGCTTTCTTCGTTCGATATTAAAAATCGGCAAATATTCGAAACACAACGCACCTTACTCGTAAAGCGCTTTCACAACAGCAGAGATGATCTTTTTCATGCATTCGACAATATTTTCGATGCAAACAGCATCGGACAGTGGGCGGGCGACTGTGATTATTTGAAAGGCAATGCCTGTTCTTCCTCGTCTCTCGCTCGCCGCAGATGCTTCAAGGCACAGCGCCGCCTATTGTACTGGAGTGCGCAAGCGCGAAGAATGAATGAATGAGTTAAATTAAATAAACAAATAAACAAGTTGTGTTTGTGTGAAACTGAATGTAATGTGACATATCCAAATCATTTAAACTATATTACTGTATAGCTAAAGAACACAAGGATACAATAAATCCAGTTATGAGTTGCTGACAAGTAACGTGCTAAAGTGTTTTTTAAAGGCCTATCTTTATTTTTTTAACAGACATTTGTTGAATAACGTAAAATGCACCTATTGTCTGACAGATACAGCAAAACGGCTTGAGATTTCACGTCTCTCTAAACACACACACACACACACACGCACACACACACACACACACACACACACACACGCGCGCGCGCGCGCGCACACACGCACGCACACACACACACAAAAGGGTTGCCGCCCTTTTTAGCCAATCAGAAACGCACTATTCTTTTCAATCATTTGCTGCGTTTCGCTTTGCGAACATCCGGTTTGCTGGCATATCTTGTGGGCGGGATTTCATGGAGAGGGTTCTTCTGGTTGAAAGAGAAAAGAACAAAACAGCTGAAACATTACAAGGGGTAAAATAATCATAATAATCATAGAAATAATATGCGTAAATAGTAGGCTAAATAAATTGTTTAATCACTATCTTTTATGGTAAATAATGTGTATTCAGAATGTGTATATAGGCCTATGTGTAATAAGAAATTCTCTAAAAGCATAAACTAATTTATATGTGTGTGTGTGTGTGTGTATACAGGTACACACACGCACACAGTATATACGGTAGGCTACTGTAAAAATGCTGGGTTGTTTACTAGACAAACTCAACCATTTTATTAAAAAATTTAAACCAACGCTTGGGTTTGTCCATATTTGACCCAAACTTGGGCTTTTAAAAAAAAAAAAAGTTTTTTTATACATATATATATATATATACAGCTTATTCAAGTGTGCTATTAGTAGGCCTACTTCTTGTAAACTAAAAATAAGAGAGTATACTGTCAATCTAAGTGTCACCCCCCTTTTTTTGAATATGAAAATGCACATTTCGAACTTAAATGTTTGTAATTCAAGAATGGTTTGGAATATAGACGTAAGATTGGTCTCGTTTTAAAGAAGACATTTGGCAGATTTTTGTAGAAGTGAAATACATTAAGAAAGTGAAACAGAAAAAGTTATAGAATTTTGAGTTTATGAAAATGTACAATGTAAAAAAAGTAATTATTCATATTTTATATAAAATATATATTTTCAAAAACCTGGGCGACTCTAAAACTGCAACAAAAAAAATCAAAGCCAAAAATCTGAAGTTGCGTTTCAAATTTTAGGTTGATATCTCAAAAAATGAGCTTTCAGTAAGATTTTGTTTGGGCGCAGTACCAAACTTTTTCACTAGATGACAACCAGACTCCATTACTGCCCATATAAGGGCGCCTCCATTTCCATATGTGTTTTGAGTGATATGAACCATTATTTCCACAATTTTCATACAATATATGAAGTAGACATCCTATTCAGAAGTAATATGAGAAGTTTGGCAGATTTTGATATGAATTCAACCTCAAAGAAACATAAAAAGAACAAGTATGTGCGTTGTAGCTTCCTGCCACATGCATCACAAATGGTGAATCTATAATTTTTTTCTTTATATTTAGAAAAATTTCAGACCTTTTTTCTAAAATAATTGAATGGATGCTATCTTTTGAACTCTTGGCATGAAAACAAACTGAGATTTCTACCCTTCTTTCAGGATTTTTTATGTTCATCACTATTTCAAAATAAAGGTCTAAACACGCCTTAGGAGTATGAAAATATTATTGTTTCAAATTGATAAATTACGGCTCCTCTGTAATTTATTTAGAAAATCAATCACCAAATATGGAAACTAGAGATAAGCTTTCAAATGATTATATCGTTTGTCAAGATTAGTTTAGGTTTAGTATAGGATTTTACTGTTTTAAAAATGTAATGGATTTGGGCCCACCGGTGTGCCAGTGACACTTAAGAGGTTAACTGAAACCGAAAAAGGATTTTTTCTTGGTAGCTTCCAGACTAGTGCACACATAGGCCTATTACAACAAGATACATATTACAATTAAAGAATAAAAATCTGAAAAAAGTATAAAGGCACAGTCACAAGTCAGACTCAGCATATTTAACAAAATTATAGACCTAGCTATACTTGGCTTATATTTGCCCAATACTTGTATTTGATTGAGATAAAATTGTAAATAGCCTATTCTGCTTAGTTGTGATTCCTCTTTTTATACAGTATATCAGCCTAAATAATATTTTCACATACTATGGGTTTTTAAGGTAAACTCCGGCATGTCTTCATGTTCAAGTTTATGTAACAAGTCAGCTTTAGGAAGAACTTCCCTTACAAAGTTAATTTTATTAAGTAAACTTAACTAAGCAGTTGCAATATTAACTTAGGGTAGTCAATTTAGTTATATACTTCTAACCCATTTTTGTTTTGTAATATTAATAAAAACATTTACCTCCATTTGAACTATACTGTCAGTGTTTTTTTAATGTCACTGCCTTAAATGTGATGCCAGGAAGATCAAAACATTATTTTTTAAAGGAAGCAAATATTACAGCGTATCAGGGTTCAAGAGAAAGTGAGAGACAAGAGACAAGAGTGAGAGACATTAAGAATAACCTTTAATTTTGATTGTATGTACAGCACTTCATTATCCATTCAAATGTATGGTGATGAATGGGGCTGATATTCTATCAAATATTGTGACTGAATTTGTATCCTGTCATGAGGACAGTGAATGTTTCCTGAGAATGACTCTCCATTAAACACATCGCAGTGTAGAAAAGCACTAGACAATGATTGTCAAGATGTGGAAATAGTCTCTGATGGGTGCTGAAGTTCCCCATTATGCATGGTGAGATCCCCCATTATCAAAAGCTGGGAAACCTACTTCAGGCCCTGCATGGGAACGAAGAACATGGTGTGTAGGCATTGATGGCCCTCATCTCATTCCTAATGATTTCTTCTGCATTTTATGTTCCCATCTTTCCAAACACAATGTGAAATTGTATATTTTCTCTGCCTCATATATTAGTAAGGAACAAATTACTTTCCTCAAAATATAGGCAAATACTACTCACACCAGTTCATGCTTGATAATGGCGAGGGTCTTTCAAAATGAAACGATGCTGTAGAAAAAAAGGTTATTTGGTACCCTGCATGTGTTTGTCTGAAACGTAACATTAAGAGACCACCTGCTGATTTCAATGCTCAATCTCATCAGTTCGTTCGCATCGTTGTGAAACAGATTTCTGGTGTGGCTGTCAAACGAATACACTGCATACCAGATGGTGAAAGTCGATGTTCCGTATCTGATGTCTCGAAACACCAGCAGAAAGGAGTGGGACTGTTTCTTTTTGCCTACTCAGATCCAGGGGACTTTTTGGAGAGAGCCTGTGCTTTGCGTATAACTTAATCATAACTGTTTGGCTTCATGGTTTGAGGCACTGATAGAACAAAAGACATGAACATATGGTTGGAAGAAAATGTGACGCAGATTATATAACACGGTCGGTTTATATATACGGGTTGGCTTTGATTTTCAGGCCACTGCACAACATATCAGATTTAATGGTTTATTTTCAGGTTGCACAATGCAGAATCAATGTCTTAATGAATTTATACAATAAGATCATCAAAGATGCATAAAAAAATCTCATGACATCAAGATCAAAACTATGCTCCACATGAAACATATTAAGTGTTAACAACAACACTCGATTCATACAGCCTCTATAGTATCGAACTATATCTAATTGAAAAAAACAACAACGCATATACACTCTCTTTATGTTCACTCTGTCTCGCGCTGTAAAATACAATTATCTTCACTGCAGTAAAACACCATGTCTCGTACGAGCTGCTCCGGGGCAACATCCATCACCAAAGCGTTTGGCAATAATGAGCACAAGATGGCAGGCTAGCCCGTAAAATGGTTTCATGGAACAGTTCCACATCGAAGCCTCAGGAGAAATGTATAGGGGTCGTGAACCTAGGCTGGATTTGGATTGGTCGCTCCGAGTGGTCAGGGCACAAAGTCAGCCAATCGGTACCGTCCCCGACAGCTGCGTCAAAGTGGTCTGAAGCTGATGTCACTGCTGTCTGGAAATCTGTGGAGCCGTTTCAGGTAATGTGGAGTAGAAGTAGCATGGCGAGTTTAAAATCACAGTCAAACAGTCGTGCTAATGGTAACGTCAGTCACGACACGAGACGTGTTCAGAGGAAAGACGAACTAGAGGGGAATCTGAAGGTCACTCAATCTATGAATTCATTAGAAGTTACCTAGGATAATGTGTCCGTCATATCAATCAGCAAGATCAGACTCCAGATGTTGCAGACGGATCATGTGTTAACATCGACTGATGTCGTCATATACAGCTGTGTTCCCAAGGACCTCACCTGTGACCTTTAAGACATCACAGGTTAAGGGTCTCAGGGACACAGACGTACACTAGTTCAAATTCAAAGTATTCAGATGAACTCAAAAGTGAGGGGGAAATTCCCGCTCTGGGTTCGTTTGAATGCAGCTTTTCCCACAAATTGCATGTCATAGACTAAGATTTCATTGTACATTCTCAAGTAGATATACAGAAATAATTAAGACCACAGATTTATGAGACAGCTTTTTATTATTTTTATTAAAAAAGTATAATTTACCACACCTTATGATATACTGAAATATATTTGTTATAGCTGTTCTTTTAAACTTTCTTTTTATCGAAGAATACTGGGAGAAAATGTATTGCGGTTTCCACAAAAATATTAAGCATAACTGTTTTCAACATTGATAATAATAAATGTTTCATGAGCACCAAATCAGCATATTAGAGTCTAAAGGATCGTGTGACGCTGAAGACTGGAGTAATGATGCTGAAAATTCAGCTTTGCCATCAGAAATGACATTTTAAAATATATTAAAATAGAAGACAGTTATTTAAA